GCCAAAGTCATTAGCCAAGAGCTAACGGTCTCGGCGCATTGGCTCCCTTTGGCGCGGTGCTACCGTCTCTGGGTCCAGTGGAGGTCCCGGTACTGGACCCACACATCGTCAAAAGACAATCAAAGAAACAATTTTCCAGCGTGTTGTTGTGTCGCCGGTGCCAGTACTGGTGAGCGAGACTGAGCCGGAATAAAGTAAAAGTCCCGGCGAGGAAGTCCCGAGCAGTCGCGGCGTCAGGTTCTTAAGAGTCAATAAATCTCCCAGCTGTCACAAAGTGAGCAATCACAATCGGATGAGGAGTTGTGTCCGAGGACGGAGGACCTTGATTCCACTGGTGAAGTAGTTTGAAGTGAAATGAAGTAGGCGATCAGAGTTCTGCTTGAAAGTCTCTCCTTTATTAAAAAAGTGTTTTTCCAAGATATCTTTCCCCAAATCAGCAAAGATGATACGACCATGATGCATTGAGCAGGCAATAACTCGACACAGTAGTGGGTTAGCAACTATTTTTTTTTTCTGGTGAAAGACGAGGATCACCCCTTTCTTTTGAGAAATTGCACTTAATTCTAGTTCAAGTACAAGATATTCTGTGGGTCCTGAAAGATACGGAAATTTCTATTGCGGTCACTGGTGGCTCTGAGTGAAAACTGCACAAATGAACCTGGCACTGAATGAGTTAATACCCCTCTCATGGTACTCCAAGTTTCCGTTATGAATATGCTTTCTTGGCACTATTTCCAACAAACCAGCATGTCTTTAAAATTTATTTCCAGCAGCATTTCAAATAGTGTCTCGACTTTTTAGGATTGTAGACGAGTCAAATATTTTCATAGACGGTTATAAGAAGTTCTGTGTTGGAAATGTGTCCAACTGAACATCATTATTTGCGTCAGAACATCTCTTTTTGCACTCCTCGGTCTATTTTTAAAAAAAAACATTGTGCAGAGAGAAACTTCAGGGTCTTCTGCAAACTCTGAAAGAAAGGGTTTGATGGCGTTTTGATCCATTTTTGGAACATTTCTATGATACGCTGTGCCACAAGAAAACACTACAGATCTCAAGGCCTCCAATTAGAGCTCCGTTCTAGGCTGCGATGACTCTAATTGTCTGGCTACTGTTGAGCCAGCGGAGTCCTCATTAAAAACAAGTTTTGTTCAATTGTTGAGACTTTTACTTTATCCTTACAATCATTTTCACATCAAATAAGTTTGCTGTGATAAAATTGCCCTTGGTTTAACAGAGCCTGAATGCTTTTTATTGAGTTTACAGAGATATAGAATTGACAGATATAGATATAGAATTTACTTAACATCCTAAGTGTCAGAATAGGAAAGGTGTTGCACTGACATGTTAACTTTACTTCTGAAAAAGCCAGTTTCACTCCCACTCGTTCACTTTTAATTACATTTTAACTTCAAGAATACCTTCCCTGCTCCTCTTTGTGTCTTTTGATCACAGCAGCCGTCAAAGAACATTGATTTCCCCTTTTACTTCAACTACTTTAATCATGTCGCGATGTGTCAGTGGTATGTTGGAAAAACAGCAGTTTCCTTTGTTCTTTTTTTAACCTCTTGCCATGCTAGTCACGTCTTCTTTGTCTCTGACACATTACGATCTGAAAAGGTTAAACAACTGTCCGCACAAAACGACAGTTCTATTTCTTACATAGTCAAGACATCATTCTGAAGGATTGAGTTTCAACACACAGCTGGAAATCACTTGAATTAATAACATACCAAAGGTGATGTATGAAATGTTGATTGCAGGAAACCATGGCAACTGCATCCAGGGATAACATGTTGAAGTTGGATCAAGGAAAGTGGGAAATGGTGGAAATGCCTGTCACCATGCAGACGGATCCCGGAAAGGATGCCTGATTCACTTTCTGAGGAGGTTCATGTTGGCCCCATATGGGGTTTCACTATATAGCTGACTATGTAGTGAACTCAATCACTGGAGGTTTCGGACACTACTGTTGTGATGTTGCCACTGGAGACGCAATGCATGACGGGATGCCATCAGATGGTCACTACATGTTGCAATGTTTTATGGGAAATTTTGAGTCGCCTATAAGGGGCATTAGAATTGATTACTGGGGTTTCGGACACCCCTCAAAATGGCGCTAAACCCTATATAGTCGCCTATAAAGAGGTTAGGGATCCTTTTTGGACACAGCCAGAAATTTCAAAAATGATGCTGCATTCGAGTTACCTCGGAAGTCAGATGACGGAACTGGGAATGACGTCACACCCGAGTAACCAGCGTTTTAGTTACCAAGTTGGAAAAGAGCAAAATTCGGAGATAGAAACAAGATGGCTACATCTACGAAAGTTATTTTAGCACTTGCCTTATCCTTGCTTATGAATGTCAAACAATAATATGCCAAGTTTTCCACATCATATGAGGTCATGTAAAATAAGCTCTTGCTTATTCTGAAGAAGTAGCTAGTATTTCTGGATTATGTTTATGGACAGTTTCATCTTGTTTTTGGGGAGGGATTTTGAGCCAATGCAGTGATTTCCACTAAAGAGTCATGTCCACTTTAAATGCAGCGCTTTCTGAAGGTCGAAAAATCACAGCCATCCAGATTTCTCTACATTTATAAGCCTCACATTTTCCTACCTCTTATGAGGATTTAACTCTAAAAGTCTTGAACTGCTTGCTCACACAGTCTCTCATACAGTGGTTCACCTCTTTATTTAATTCTGCTTTTATCAACATTTTAGGGAACACTTCACTTGACGTCTATCTCTATAACCCATTATAAATATATGTATATGTATAATGCATTATAATCACGTTATAGCACTGTATAACTATAATTATAAACACTTATAAATGATCATAATGCTTTATAACAACAATCATAACACAGTTATAACACATTATGATACCTGACCTTGTAAGTCATAGTAAAATGCTTAATAATGTGTTATGATTATTGCTATAAAGTATTATGATCATTTATGAGTGTTTATAACTATAGTTATACAGTGCTATAACGTGATTTTAATTAATTATACATATATTCATCATGCGCTACAGAGATAGGCATCAAGTAAAGTGTTACTACATTTTAAACAGCATCCCAGTGATTTTAGTGGAGGTCGTCAATGAGATCACAGTGCAACTTAGAGGTCACTAAGAATGACAGCATATGCCGGTTTGATTTCTGTGGTCATTTTCCCGCCATAAATGTCAGGATATTCGCTCGGAGGTGGATTTCAACGGCCGCCACGAGTTTCACGAAAGCAGCTGTTGTTCTGCACGCTGTGACACCAAACTGAGAAAAGCAAAGGCCGTCCAGATTTTAAAAGCTTCGAGCCCCGTCAAAATGCAAAGGTTGTAAATGCGCTCCGAGGCTGTGTGTGTGAGAGAGAGCGTGAGCCAGACATTCTCAGTCCATCTGTGGTAACTAATTATGTCAGCGTCAGCAGCTAATTAGAAAGGGAAAAATGTGGAAATGCCAGATGCTGAATGCCCAGATCAATCAGCATGGAATAAAAAAAAAAAAGGAGTTGCTGCAAGGTTGGTTAGTTCTCTTTAGGACCAGTAAGCTCAAACAAATCTGATTTGAGGGCGAGAACTTTCACTGGAACTGGATCCGGCTGAAACACACACTCGGAAATTGAGAGCTTTCCATATTTCTTGTTTTTTTTTCCCTCTCTTTTGGATCAATTGTTCAAAAAATAATAGCGACAAGTAAGATTGCTTTTTTCGCCTGGCTACTATTATCCGAACGGAATCAGCACTGGAAGTTTCCCCCATTAATCATTACAGCAACCATGACTTGTACAACCCACACACGGAAACACACACTCCAAGGCACAGCCGGAACGCAGGAAATGCAACCGAAAAGAAAAAAAAAAAGAATAATGACAGCATATTGCACACAGAGAGGCTCAAAGATGTATAAATACACACATACAAGCTCCCTGGAGTGCCATTGAATTCCAAAACTGATCACAGCTGGGGTCAGCGTGGTCAAGAAGCTAATCATAGGTGTGGCGGGGAAAATGAAACAAAACTCTGCTGCATATGTATAAAAACCACGCCTCACATTTTAACATTGTTACAGTTATCCTTGCTGGTATCAGATATTTATTTATCCCACTTTTGTTTGCATTGTTACTCGGAGTCTGACTATCAAGTTTGCGAGAGTGTGCGTGGCGTTTCACCAGTTCTGCTTGAGGCATCTGTCAGCTTTAAGTTAAGTGTTTGCAGGGTTAATGACTGGTCTCTGGAGTGCAACTTTGCGGTTGCATTGTTAAATAAATCAATACATGACTGTCTAAAAATAGCTGCTAAGAAAGTTGATACTGGGAAAAAGTGTTTATTTTATTTGTTTATTTTTTCTTTACTTGAAAAAGTTAAGTATGGCGCCGACCTGACGATAAGACTTTTTGTTCCTGTTTTATTCTGTTTTATAATCAGGGTTTATGTTGCGGATTAATATCATTCTATTTGCAGAATAAAGGTCCTTACATACCTAACCTCTTTAACACCAGCCAAATTGCTCGGTCTCATTATCACATTTAAATCTTTATTCTGGCTTTAATATCTCATCTTACTGCTCCTGCCTTCATTGCACTCATAACAGGCTGGTAATTACAATCTTAGGCTCTGTCATTAGCAGAAAAATACATATTTTCCTATCTTTATGGACAAAACTGGCATTGAATTTGTTTTTACTAGGGCCCGTCCAAGTGGATTTTTGGGGGCCAATGCTGATACCGATTATTAGGGGGGGGAAAATCTGATTATTGATTAATCTGCCGATTTTTTAATTTTTTTTATGAAGTTATAAAAATATATACATATATACTGTAGATACTGTAGGTATGCTGTAGATTACTGTTCTTCACACCGACAGGAAGACCGATTGATCATCACAGTAATATTCCACGTATTTATCATGAATCAAACTCGGACCAGAAAAGCGTTTTCAAACTTTAGCTTGCATATTACATGGTGCTTCACCGTTAACTCAGTGTGACCGAGACCAGCACAGCGTGGAACATCGTGAAGTGGGTTGAACTGAAACTTGTTGACTTATTGTGTATTTCACAAACTGGTTTATTTACCGTTGAGGCGGACCACTCTCCTCTGTGCGTCCCTGAGCTGTCTGCTTCAGATCCGTCACTCTGCTGTGCTGTGAGGTAGTTCGTGGATGAAGATTGTCATGAGGTCGCTGCGCCATCTACAGGATAAGTTGGGGGACTTTTCAAATGGTGACACATTTTCGAAGTGAAACCGAATCTTACTCTTCGCATTTTATTTTTTGAAAAAATCGGCGAAAATCAGTGAGTTTTGGCCAATTACCAATTTGTCTCAAACGGGCTAAAATTGGCCGATTTAGGCCCCAACTACACGAATGCGGAAATATTTCAAACCGCGCATATTTTGGAGTTTGGAACACTCAAACCGGATAAATCTGAATCCAAAAAAGAAACAGTGGAGAAATTTAAAAAATATCCGTATAAGTGGATTCGTGTGGTTGAACTTTTACGGATCGATGACGTCAAACCGCAGCTCGCGCATGCGAATTAAAAAGAAAAACAACAACAACAATGGCGGACATACAGGGTATTCATTGCGTTTGTTTTGCTCTTTTGGGGCTAATTTCTGCCTTGCAAGTGAACCTTGTTTTATACAATTACATCCACCAGTCAGCCAGCTCACAGAGGCGTCTGTGTAGCTTCCGCAAACAATGCATGACGCATCACGCTGTTACAATTCATCGGCCAATCAGTTAGCTTTGTTCCTGAATTTTTTTAAGCGGCACCAGATAGGATTGAGTTTGAAGGCTACATGTGCATGCAGATATTTTTGAGAACTAACACGTGTGGACAGATACATTTATTTAGACGGGAGTACAAAAATATCCTGATAAATAAATATCTATATACGTGTATTCTGGGCCTTAATCGGCTCGCTGATAAATCGGTCGGGCCCTAGTTTTTACCAAAGTTAAACCTTGGGGTGCCACAGCCTGTAGTTACTGAAGTAACATACAACTCGCAAAAGTATTGCCAGAAGTTACCGTAGTGTGTTAATAAACACATTTCATTGTATAAAAACCTTACAATCATTTCCTGACACATCCATTCACTCAGGTCTCCAACCTCCAAGTCACACTTTGAAGCTCTGGTTGAGAGGATGTGAAAGTGCTGCAATGCATCATTCAAAAACAGCGATTCACTGAGTATTTCAGTCAAGGTTCATATATAAGCAGAAGTCATCCTTTATGCAGGAGTGTTACGCATGAAAACTTGGAAGAAAAAACTATAAATAGAGAAGGACTCCATAAGAACTCCTTCAGATCATCTATTGAATGAAACCATCTGCTGCCGTAACAGTTCACGCCAAACAAAAGAACAAGACTGGAGTTTTTAGTGATTAATTGATAGAGTTTTGTTGCCCAAAGAAACATGAGAAAGAAGCTCCAAAACATTACTTAGACAGCTTGTTCTGGCTAATATAGTGTGTTTGTGTATACATGTAAAATTATCTAGAGGGATATTCTTTCATCCTTCTTCCAGTTGTCCTACTTGGAAAACAACAAAAGACTGGCAGTAGCACCTTATGAAACACAGTCTTGGATAAGGCGTCTCATATACAGGCTTATATTGAAGGTATTAGGTAATCTCATGTTGCTCCGAGTGGTGAAAACATGATCAAAGGTTTTCTATTTTGCTACAGTATCCATGGCAACAGAGCAAAATCCTCCAGACGGCGAAGTGGATGATCAGAAGTTGTTAATGCCGCTAAGGTCTATTACAATTACGTGAATGACAGCATCTTATTATCATATTCACTCGTGCTGAAGTTTTGTTTATCACTGAACGCGGCGTCATGTACCAGGCAGAAATTATCCCAGAGTGACAATAAAATGAGTCTTAAGCTGCACTGTTGTCGTGTTGCTCAGACTGTAATTACAAGCAGCCGAGCGTTTAAAAAAACTGTCAACATCCTCGATGTAATTCTGAATCGCAAATAGGAGAAATTTCAAACCCTTGTTATATCTAAAAAGCTGTGAAATGTTGGAGGACAGAGAACTCCTGCTGTGCCAGATTTGATCTGTTTAAAGCTACACTCAGTATTTTTACAAAACAGGGTCAAGTACCTGAGGATGAGAACTGAGATGTTTATAACCAACACTTCAGCTTCCTTTAGCTCTATTTTAAGCTCACTAGGAGGTGTGCTTTTATTTTTATTTTTTTTCCGCTATTTATATAATTGTGTTAACTCAACTTTCTATTGTTATCATAGTTTTTTTTGTGTATGTTTGTGTTCTTCATTTCTTTTCCTTTTATTTTGATTAAACTTTAGTTCAGGTGTTCTCAACTGGTCTCACTCTGGGACCCACATTGTCCCCTGGTCCTTAAGTCGCAACCCACTTACATAAGATTCAAACCAAGCAAATTTATTTTTTTATACAAAAAAAAACTCTTTAAAAACTCAAATCTTAAACATAAATACACCCATTATATTGAGTAATGTGCATTTCAGAGCACATAAACTGAGGACGACGACTACTGAAGTTGCATATACAGAAAATATCAAACCAGCAAAATGAAAAATTAGACTTTTATGCATCTCTGCATTCAGTGCATAAAGAACCTGAGGAGGACAAAAGTGAATAAATATCAAATATCCAAAAAAAAAAACGCATTTCTACTGCATCCAGCTCACATTAATAAGAAACCGAGGAGGACCACGACATAGCACTTACCTTTCAAAATAATCTATTTTTCAAAATAAAAGACATATCAAACATCAGATGCGCATTAAATATTTACTTTTTTGACCAGCTGTTCACGACCCCTCCAGAACGTGTCCGCAACCCACCAGTTAAGAACCACTGCTTTAGGTTGTACTATCATATAGTCATAACTATGACGACTCTAATTTTCATTATTATTGTATTTATTTATATTGTTTGAATCTTTTTCAGCACTTCTGTTTCTGTAAAATTTAAGCGAAAACTTTTAACCTTATTTGCACCCTTTAATTTGAATAAAAAATATCATTATAAAAAAAGAGATGAGGAGATATTGTCTATAGTTCTTAAAGGAAAGCTAAAATTCTATGCAATATTTACAAACAAAATGGATTAAAGTTGTACTAGAGTTTGTTGCGCTGCCCCTAGTGGCTAAAAGAGTAGGTTCACATTATGGTCACATCCTGTAATACAAGTTGAAGCTATAGTTATGACAAAACAAGTAGTCATAACTATGACAACTAATTTTCATTATTATTATATTTATTTATTTATTTATATTGTTTGTATCTTTTTCAGCACTTTAAGCGAAATTTGAGCGAAAACTTTATACATTATTTTGACTCTTTAATTTGAATAAAAATATCATTGTAAGAAGAAAAAGAGGAGAGGAAACGTTAATAGTTTTTAAAGTAAGATTCTATGCAGTATTTACAAAGAAAATGTTAAATTAAAGTTGTACAAGAGTTTGTTGCGCTGCCCCTAGTGGCTAAAAGAGTAGGTTAAAATTACAATAACACACTGTAAAACAAGTGGAAGAAATATATCCTCCAATTAATGTTTATCTGGCTAAAAACTGCGGTTAGTTCAACGCTAGCCATTTTGAGATACTGTTTAAATGCTTCACAGAGTTAAAACTGCCACTAGCTATAATCTCCTCTGCTCCTCTGAACTGAAGAACCTTTGCCTTGTGTCGATATGTCTCCTCCTGTGAATAAGGGGCTCTTGTTATCCTTTACCTGAATTTGTAAGTGGTGTTTTTAACAAAAAAAAAAAAAACCTTCATCCTTGTTCCTTTTTAAAAAGTCAAATATCGCTCTTTGGGAGATGTAAAACCAGGCTGTTTATGCAGTCAGCTGTTAATCCCTTGTCTGACACATACCTCCTGGCACGGGCAACAGGCGTGTCAAAAAACTTTTTTTTTTTTTAAGCTCTTGTTGCCTTTGCAGTTAATATTAAATTCAGCCTCATTAATTACAAGTAAGCATCTCCTCCCAGGAGCTTGAGGCTTTAGGGCTGTTGTTGTATATCCAAAATTAATGCAGAAGCTCTTATTGATGCGTGTTTGTTGTCGGTCAGCGTCTAAAAAGACTGTTTTTGATGTCTCTGAGCCTCCACCTGCAAAGGTGCTTGCCTCCCTCTGCTCGGGGCCAATTGGTTGTCAAATATTAGCTCTGGTTGAAGTAAGCCACTCGAATCTCAGACACTCGATGTGGCCTTGGGAACGAGAGCATGCTGTTTTTCAAGATCTACCTGAAGTGTTTATAAGACAAAAGTAAAAGAATTTGCAAAGCACTTGGTCAGATATGTACCTTTTTGTGCGACTTAATAAGTTTTCAAGCTGTGGGTACACTAAGGACTATACATTCTCTTACACCGACAGTATGGCTCTTTTTTCAACCAGTGATCCATGCAGATTAAAACAAACACCACTAACTATCTGCAAATGACGGTACAGCTACTAAACAGTAGGGCCTGACCCATTTATCGCGAGCCGATTGAATCAGGCAATTTCAGCCTGTTTGAGACTAATCGGTAACCTGCCAAAACTTGCAGATTTCCGCCGATATTTTCAGAGATAAAATGCGGAGAATACGATTCGGTTTCACTTCGAAATTGTTTCGCCATTTGAAAAGATCCACCGACTTATCCTGTAGATGGCGTAGCAACCAACGGAGGAGAGTGGTCCGCCTCAATGGTAAATAAACCAGTTTGTAAAATACACAATAAGTCAACAAGTTTCAGTTCAACCCACTTCACCATGTTCCCCGCTGTGCTGGTCTCGGTCACGCCGAGTTAACGGTGAAGCACCATGTAATATGCAAGCTAAAGTTAGAGTTAGCCATCTGCTATTAGCCTTGCTGCACTGTTAGCCGTGCCAGTAACGGTAGAATGAACAACAGTACACATTACGTAATCGAGCTACTTCTCCCTCTTCGGGCCCTAGTACACTCAGGACTATATATTCTCTTGCTTTAACAGTATGGCTTGTTTTTCAGCCGATGATCCATGCAGATTAAAACAAACACCACTAATTATTTGCAAACGATGGTACAGCGACTAAACAGGCAAGAGAGAAGAGCACAAGTGTACAAATTACACGTTTGCAAGCAGCTTTAAAAATTGAGTGTGACAGACAAGCAAAAAAAAGTGCCACAACCTTTAAACAACAGCTCTATTTTAAGCTCCTGTCAGTTATTTCAAGCTGTAGTGCAACCAACGAGACCCCCTGTAAAGGTGTCTGGGGACAAAATTGGACCCATCCAAGACCAAAGTACTGATGCTAACATTTTGTGAAGCTGGTTTGACACACACATACTCATGCGCACCCCTATGGGAGGGCACGCTCGAAGGGCTCATCCAATCTGTCAGCGTTCTGCCAGCATGCTCCCCTCTCCCTCTGCGACATGACCTGCACGCAAACAGAAGCTTTCACCAAATAATCACACTGCGAGGCTTTGAAATATGATGTGCTCTTTTTTTTTATTTTTTTTTTTATGTTTGCAGCATCAATACTTCACAGATTTGAACGAGCTGAGGGTGGAAAGTCAAGCAGGACGAGCTCAAATTAGTCAATCAGCTGGACATGCGGATTTAACTAGAGTGGAGTCATTTGAGGCAAAAGCAGGGTCCAAAAGTTGAAGTCCTGGTCCCTTTTTCCTACGTGTTTCAAAGTAGATTAAAGGCCAAGTCATGAATCTTTCCAAGTTAAGCTCAAGTATTAAAGACGGGATAAAAATATCAGAGTGTATGATCAAAAGTTAAAAAGATTCAGGCCGAATTGCATTAAAACTTCATTTGACAAGTCTAGAATTACAAACCCCAATGTCCCAACTTCATTGGACTTGGAGTTTGAAGACAGATGAAGCCTCTTTACTCTTAAATTAAAGCCAAATAAAGTTAAGTTAACGCCACATATTTGGGTTAATTTAGAAGCACTATTATTTCAGAGTCTAATTTTGCAAAACGTCTTAAGTGAGTACACAGTTTGAAATGCATTGCATCACTTATGCAAAGTTTAATGTAGTAAGTATGTGTGATGCAATCTCTTTTATAAATTGGCTCAGAGCTTTAATGTTCCCAGACTGATGCGTTTGGGGATGTAGAGTCGCTCAGAGGCACAGCATTTGACTGCAGATTCAGAGGTCTGAGGTCCGTCTTCTGATGCAGAGAAACAGCATCGCTCTTAATGTTCAAAGAGGTTTTTTCCCCCTTTTGCCATGAGCTCTCTGCGGTTCGCCATGTCACCATACCTGCGCAGCATGCTTAACCCATACCCCGTGCGAGGGTATCTTCAAAAATCTTCAAAATCAAGAGGAATTTCTCCAGAAACCCTTCGTTTAAACTCCCCTCTGTTATTTTTCAAAGTAAACTTTTGGTCGAGCATGAGCGTCTCTTACAGACTTTTAATTTCACAGCAAATCAGAATAATTCCACAGAGAGCGGCGAGATGATAGCTTGTCAACTGCTTGTAATATCTTCCACTCGCTTATCTATTGTGACATTTTTTTTCTTTTTTTTTCCACGGACCATCCATCGTATCAAAACAAAACACCTGGGCAACCACGCAAAACATTACCATTCAAATTTGCCGTCCAACTTTTTATTAGTTTGCGGACTCAGATTTCATGCAAGGGGCATTTTTTGGCACTTAAAATTCTGTCATACACTGACAGGTGCTGAAAAAATCCACAGGATTAATGCAAGATTTAAAGTTCTGGCAATTCTCCCTGTGGGAAGTTGTCCTGGATTTATTTCCACTCATTCATGCAGAGACGACTAAATATTAAAAGTAAGTATGAGATTCATTTAAGTGGCGAAGTCCTGCTTCACTGCAAGACCTGGATGGCATCCAAGTTTCCTCTTAGTGGATAGTTTAGGTTCAGAGTTAATACACACTGTGTTATTTTTAAAGACTACAGAGAGGGGCGGCTGCTACAGTAAGATTTTTAGGGTGTATAAGTATCAAGGAAGTGAAAATAGTTCAGGATTCTGCGCAAAAAAGAACAGCCATGATGTGGTGGTCAAGATGTAGTCAAAGGGGCAACTGTTGTTTCCAGTTTCACTGCCTGCACATCAAGTCAGCTCCTGGATCCTTCTGCTACTGAGCCATACTATTGCAATACATGCAGAATGTAGTTTTACATTTTCTTATTGTCATATGCAAAGTCTTCTTCACTTTCCTTCAGTCCACCTTAAATATGCCTGGACCACTAGAGGTCACTAGCAGTTATTTTACTATGTGTGTATATGTTTTTTCTTCTTTGCGTTTTTCAGTTTCGACAATATTTTTGGATGCAGTAATGAACAATGTGGGTTTTTTTTAGATGATTTTTAAGGGTCACACGGGGACTGCCACTACAGAGTTATGTCTGTTTTGTGTTCTAAAGGCGTAAACATGGGTTTGTCACCTTTGTGCAGAGGCTTCTTTAGGGGACAGCTGTGTATATGTAGCTGCATTTACATGGACAGAAATGATTGATGAGCGTTTGGATTATTTGATTTTGCACCCATATAAACAGTGGAGTCAGATTTTCCAATCCCTTAGATTTTCAATCAGATCAAGAAACTTTCTACATGTAAACATCGCTTTTTTGTGGTAGTGTTAGTCGTCTCCCAATCGAAAGGTTGGGGGCTTGAATTCAAGTCAGTGGCATATGATATTGAAGTGGTCAGAAGTAGGGCCCAACTGCTTTATCAACAGCCCTATTAAATCGGCCAATTTTAGCCCATTTGAGACTAATCGGCCAAAACGCGCTAATATGCGAGCTAAAGTTAGAGTTAGCCATCTGCTATTAGCCTTGCTACACTGTTAGCCGTGCCAGTAACAGTAGAGTAAACAACAGAACACATTACGTGATCGGGCTACTTCTCTTACTGAGGCAGCTGCACGTCTCCAGATGAGACCGGAACGGAAATGTGTAACGTGAGTTAAGACGTGGAGACACCGATCGGAGGCAGCATGAAGAGCAGTAGCCTACAGTATATCTACAGTACATATATATAAATTTCATAACTTAATAAAAAATTTAAAAAAATCTGCTGAATAATCGGTAATCAGAATTTTTTACCCCCTTATAATTGGTCGGGCCCTTGTCAGAAGGTTGGAGAAAACACTACATCAACAGTCCGTATAAAACAATCCATTTTCCAGATTTGTTGACTCGTTTGAGATACTATGTGCTGTCGATGATAAAAATCATTTTTTTTCATTACTCAGCATTATTTTATTATTAAATAAATAGTTCAATGGTTTGAAAACCTTCAGATCAGCTTTTATAACCGTTTTTACACAGCTGGAGAAACCCTCTTAGAGGTCCTCGCTTACATGTCAGTATTTGCCCTAAAGGATTAGATCAAAGTCATTCAGCCATGATATGACTGCTGGTGAAAGCCCTCCTTACTCCACAGCCTCCTCAGAAATCTCCAAAGGACTTCTACCTCTTACTTGCTAACACAGGTAACCGTTTTCTTTTCGTGAAGTTGGGGGGAAAAAAAATCTGGAATTTCCCTTTAATAAAAAATCCATTTACATACATAATTCAGCAAACTTGCTGCACTGTTTTGCATCACATGTGCCTAATGCATCATCACCATCTTAAAAAGCGCTCTATTGGCAACGCCCTCATACATGACATGCATCCCAATCCATATTAATGATTGCAGCTTGTTATGGCTGTTACTGCCAGAGAATGCAGACATTTATTAACCTCGGGTGTCCATTCCAGACACATATAAACACATTTATTATTGTAAGTGGCGTCAATAAGCCGACCTTTGTTGTGTGTGTGTTTAGCGTGAATGATTTAGCGCCGTGTCCAGAAATGACAGTCCTGCAGGGCCGGTACTTATTACATGTGCCGATGTATGAATACTGATTTGGTTTTTGCCTTTGAGATCATATGATGATGAGTTTTGGTTTGATTAATACACAGTCTGGAGAAAGAGTATCTGCCAGACTCAAGTTTTTGCTCCCATGAGTTCTCCCTCATTAGCATATAATATCATTTCCCCTCCACGCTGCCTTTGATATGCCACAATTTTGTTTCAAAGAGAGCCGCGGAAACTTTCAAAGTGAAGCTCAGTCAAGATTCATTTCTAAACTGCAACCCTGAGGAAACAGCATATTTCTGTCAACTCACCATGTATCTTAATTTACATGTAGATTTAAATTGTAAACCACTTCGGCTTTGTATTTTCATTTTTGTCTTGACTTGAGGAAAGTTGTGAATCATTTTACTGCAGTTTTGATGATATTTACTTGCAACATTAATTCTAAAAAAGTAAGGATGCTGGTAAAATATAGATAAACAGATTTTGAGGGTTTGCACATAAACCCAAATCTGATATTTCAATGAAAATGGTGCAAAGACATCATGTTTAAGAAAAAAAGTACACCAAGTTTGATGCCAGGAAAACATAACAGCATTAAAAGATCCAAAGAAGCAGGAGAAATTGCTTTTAAAAGGAACAAAACAACTAAACATCACGAGACTGGCATGACCTTGGCCCTCTGCGTTAAAAACAGGGACGTTAATAATTTTTTTTGAACCCGTATCCTGTCAATACAAGCGTTCACATCAGCGACGTTTTCCCATCCTGCGATATTGCAGCTTTCTTTTTGTATCACTATCATTTTCTAAAGTTTCACAAACTGTGTGTCCACTTCTGACCAATCAGATTTCGTGTTGTTGCGACATCTGATTCACCAGTATATCCAACATGGTCGACAGGCTGATTGTTTACGTGTCGGAGAACAGAGTGCTCTTTGATAAAAAACACAAATATAACAAAGATAACGACCTGAAGAACAACTTGTAAAGAGTCATAGTGTCGGATTTCTCATATGACGATGGTTTTTGTGCTTTAACAGTTTGCTAAACGTCTTTGTTTTAACTTTCATCTGTGCTAAGTAACTTTAGCTCGTAAGCTAACCTGTTCAGATACAACATACCATATGTATTTTCACTGTCTCAAACTCAACCGCGTTGCTGTCACAGCACCATTAGGTCTCGGTTGTTACCTTAGGTTTATGGATTATAGTTTAATGTGCTTATCTGGTACTGGCCCCGACTCAGTACATGCTATCATGACAGACAGACATCTCAACATTAGTGTCTAATCAGAACTGAAAAACAGTCAATCTGGTGTTGAGTCAGTCTTCCTGCTTCCACCCGGGATGCGTCTTTTTTCCCCCCGGAAAGTCGCAAAATCGCATCGTGCTTGATGTGTATGGTCAGGCATGTCAAAATTCACCTCAAAATATTTCATACTTACACGTCGTATATTTGCGTTTTTCTTCTTTGCAATACAAAGCTTGGCGCAGCATCCACAAATTCAGGATAAGCATGTACTTGGTTTGATCTCTCCATCTAAGGACTTATTTATCAAGCTTATTATGCTATCCTTTGTCATTTTTCTGAACATGCTTGTGTGCGGCCATCAAACACTATTATCTAGGATCAGCAGTCTCACTAGATCTAACATATGACAGTTCAAAATCTCTAACAGCTAATTATAACCCCATATTGTTTGCTATTGACTCGGATCCCTAGATACAATTGCTGCATCTGTGATTGTGTGTCATCCCCGGGAGATTTGATGGATTGTGCGGACGGGAGCTGCTTTCACCCACAGGTTGAAAAAAAAAAGAAAAAAAGAAAAGTCAGCAATTTAGAGCACTCTGACAATTAGCGACAGTGTGCGTGTGGGCGTACTGTATGCGCCCTGTTCCTGCTGTGTATGTGCCATGCATATTCAGTGTTCATGTATGAATTCATGAGGGTTTCTCGTGTGTGCGTGTGCACAGGAATGCTCAGGCCCTTGGGTGCCCCATGCATCCATTACATTACATCTTATTTAATGAAAGCTTGATTAATTGCAGGGCCGTGCCTTCTTTGTCTCTGCAGCTTCAGGCCCTTACAATAATATAAGAAGTCATTATGCCTGTTGTTATAATTAGCTGTAAAATGCAAGTTATTTCCCATTAAGATACCAATAAATGCAGGCTGAGAACACTCCACGCTTGTGTCTCTAGGAAAAAAAAAAGTGGCCAAGTTTTATGTAAATAGGAATTGTTCAAAAACACAGCAAGCGCTGGCGCTGCTATTTTAATTGCAGATGCATCCTCTGTCAGCTTCTGTGATGACTTTATGGATGCAGATATGCAAACAATGCCCTGCCTCAAGATGAAAAGTTGCATATTGTACGTGTAAACCCCCTTTTTCGTGGCCAAAAATTTGCATCCTAAGCGTAGAAGCCGGGGCTCAAACTGTGATTTGATGTGAGGTGACTGATGGTGTGCTCGTAGGAGAGAAAATGGATGTGAAAACATCTGCATACTGTGAGTGTCTCTGTGTGGCTACACGTGTTTGTGTGCAAAGAGTGTGTATTAGAGCTGATAGACATACAGTACCCTGGTTCTGCCTATGTGGAGTCATAGATATATGAATTAGGCAGCGGCCTAGAAGGAGATCAAAAAGCAGGATCAGCAGACTTGATCTCCTTTTGACTGTTTCGTATTCTGTTTCATCCTCCACCCCCGTCCACATCCCTCCTCCCTCCTTTCCTTCCTCAGACCTGCTCCTCTTCTGTGATCTGCAGACTGCGGCCATGGGAACTCCCCAGGCTGCTTTGATCACAAGTATTATTTGTTTTTCTCCGACACGATCAATGAGAAATTGAGCGGTCAGACTTGGTCAGACTGGCCTAGGGCGGATCAGGTCATGGTCTTCAAGAGTTTGACTCATTTCCAGTTTCATCCCCTCTGGAGGGTACAAACTCCCAGTCCAATATAGGAAACTTTTGGTTTACTTAAGACTGTACTACACACACTGTCAGTCTCCAAGACGAGATGTGTAAAACTCTCAAAGACTGTGTAGGTAGCAAATTAAATGCGCCTCAAAATAGCCACGAAAAAACCGCAATCAAAGCGGCCACTACTCCAGTTGTGTCGCTTGACAGATGATTGAAAGATGAATGAAAGGTATGGAAGCAAGTTTAGGACGATCTAAGAAGACTGACAGCTCCTCATTGCTCGACGTACGTCACTGATATGACAGCTCGAGTAAAATGACGATGTCTCAAAGAAGGAAAGACAACCATCATCTTTTTCTAAGAACGAGCTGTCCGTCTAAACATGACATGGATTACTTTCTCGTTTGTTACAGAACATAGGAAATGTTTGAGGAGGTGTGTTCAACAGCTTTTGTTGAGTATGTTCAAAACTTGGCCCAGTTTTTCCAAATAGGATCACTGTGTGGGCTGTAAAAATGTCCATGCTTGCTTTTTTTTTTTTAATTTTACTTATCACTATGAATCCATCTTCTACATGTATATATCACCATTCTATAGCCCACATTTCACCCATACATACATACAGTAGGTCAACAAGTCATCCAACCACCCATCTATTCATATTTTCATTCTTCCATTCATGTATACATTTAAATATCTATCCATCTATCCTTCTACAAATTACATTATCATACAACCAACCATGTTTTCATCACCAATCATCCATCTGAGTTTTGATCCTTCATATCCATCCTTTCAAATATCCATCAATTAATAATCCATCTATTTGATTATCTATCACCATTAATTCACTTATCCATTTATCATCCATTCATCAAACAATGCATAAACCCTTCTTTCCATCAACTTACTTTTTCCATCATCTATCCATCCACTTACTTTTCCATCCATCCATCCATCCACTTAATTTTTTCATCCATCCATCCATCCATCCATCCATCCACTTAATTTTTTCATCCATCCATCCATGCACTTACTTTTTCAATCAATCAATCAATCCATCCATCATCCATCCATCCACTTACTTACTCCATCCATCCATCCATCCAAACAATCACTTACTTTTTTAATCCATCCATCCATCCGTCCATCCATCTACTTACTATTTCCATCCATCAATCCATCTATCCATCCATCTTTTCATTCATCCATCCATTCATTTTCCACATCCATTTACTTTTTCCATCTGCTTTTTATCCATCCATTCATTTTTTTCTATCCATCCATCCATCCATCCATCCATCCATCCACCTACTTTTTCCATCCATCTCCTTTTTCATCCATCCATCTATCCATCCATCCATCCATCTATCCACCTACTTTTTCCATCCATCTCCTTTTTTCATCCATCCATCTATCCATCCATCCATCCATCCATCTATCCATCTACCCGTCCACTTACTTTTTTCATCCATTCACTTTTTCATCCATCCATCTATCAATTATCCAACCCTTTCATCCATCCATAAATCATTATACACATTCACACACATACTCTGTCATCTTTTTTTAAAATCCATCCATCCTTTGAATCATCCCTTTATCCATGTGTGCTGAAACACTTCAGCGTGTCTTGAGGGGAGATATTTCAGAGATCTAACTCCTTGTGGCATCTTTCACTGGGAATCATCAGGGGTAAGAGGTCAGAAAATAAAGCCTGAAGAACTTTGCTTTGGTTTAGTTTAAATGAAAGAAAAAGATTAGAGGTTCAGCAAAAAAAGAAAACTGTCGAAAAATTCGATCCTGCTTTGTAAGCTCATCAGATCCAAACCAGCTCAGCTTCTCCAGTAACTCATACATATAACCTGGTAATAACTCAAAGCTCATGACTACACTTTGGAGTGTCCGCATTTATCAGCTAAGAGCTTTACCATTGGGTGAAAGGTCTTGTTTCAGTGCAACAGTTAAGGCCCCTAGCATGTATTTCTGCTGACACAACACCAATCAGCCATTCCATTCAAAAGTCCCAAGGGACCTGTTAGCTTAGGGCCGCAACAGACTCTGAACCCTGAAGGTGCAATCTGCCCAAGAACAGTGGTCTTAATCTTGAGGGTGATTACTCTTGACCTGAAAGCTTTATAGTGGGTTACATAATCATCATGTATTGGATGTTTATAAGAAAATTCTTAGATGTCTTATCTTGTCATTTAAGGTAATCTTGTCTTCTTTAATAGTGGAAATGCTCTGTCAGCACTATCATTATTCAGCGTTTTTAACTAAAGGTCCTTACACACCAGGAACGGCACAAATATATGACGCAAAATTACAAAATATTCAGAGGCGAATTTTGACACGCCTGACCATACACATCAAGCGCAATGCAATTTTGTGACTTTCCGAGGGGGAAAAAGACGCATCCCGTACCAGATAAGCACATTAAACTATAATCCATAAACGTAAGGTAACAACCGAGACCTAATGGTGCTGTGACAGCAACACGATAGAGTTTGAGACAGTGAAAATACATATGGTATGTTGTATCTGAACAGGTTAGCTTACGAGCTAAAGTTACTTAGCACAGATGAAAGTTAAAACAAAGACATTTAGCAAACTGTTAAAGCACACAAACCATCGTCATATGAGAAATCTGACGCTATGACTCTCCACAAGTTGTCCTTCAGGTCATTATCTTTGTAATATTTGTGTCTTTTATCAAAAAGCACTCTGTTCTCCGACACGTAAACAATCAGCCGGTCGGCCATGTTGGATATACCGGTGAATCTGACGTCGCAACAACATGAAATCTGATATGTCAGAGGTGGACACACAGTATGCAACACTTTAGAAAATTTGACCATGATACGAAAAAATAAATGCTGCAATATCACAGGATGGGAAAACGTCGCTGACGTGAACGCTTGTATTGACAGGATACAGGTTCGAAAAAAAATATCTACGTCCGGAATAATCACAGGAAAAAAACGCTCTCGGTGTGTAAGGACCTTCATACTGCAACCTCTACATGTTCAAATGCAGCTCTTCAACAGTTTCTACATTCATACCTTTTTACCTTTTCAGCAGCTCTGCACATTTTCTGCAAGGAAACACAATTTATCTAATTTGGTATAAATACCCAGTGATTAGAAGGTCATGAGAATAAAGTATTAATTAGTGCTTTTAATGACTAATTAAGAGCCAATGTACTCCAATAAACACTTGCTTGTCCTTGTAAAAAGTTTAAACCTTTTGTCATTTTTCACCCAGAACATTTGGTTTTAGAGCTTCGGTTCGACAATTTTTTTAACAGGTTTTCAATGTTTCACAATCTAATTAAAAAAATCGCCTTTCAGGTGTTTTGCTAAACTGAAACGGAAGAAATGACTTCCTGTTGCAAGGACACTGGCAAAACCAGGACCTATTTTTTTTTCGTTTTTATTGCTCTTTATGAGTAAGGATTCACAATGAACCGCTGTGATCTGTGTCCTGCGAGAACAACTGAATTGCAGTTACATTTAATTCAAACGGACGGTGTGTGTAAATTCAAGGTAATGTGCCTAATTTGTGAATGAAAACAGCTTTGGGACTAATATGAGGTGGACTGTTTATGACCATAGCCAAAATGCCAAAAGACCACTGGGCGAACTGACCAGTCTCAGAGCATTCATAATACATGCTAATTAGAGTCATACATTCTGTGCACACAGGCTGTAGTTTTCCTTCTTTTAAATACCAATCAGCAAGAATAAAGTTGTGTTTACAGACGCTCATTAGTGTGGCCATTTTGTCAAGCAGTTCCAAGTTGTTGTTTCAAGTGAGCTTTTTGGTGTCTCTTGAAGTTGGAGGTCATGTCGGGTTGCTCTCTAATTGGGTGTCAAGAGGATTCTAAATATTTTCACACCCACACAGCAGACACATTCACACACATTCACACACACACACCAAATACATCTTGCTTTAATTGGTCAAATAGGCTTCCCTGGCCGGTAGTACAAAATCATAAACCCTTACACACACACATATTGTGGTGATGTACAGTAGAAGCCCCTAATAAGGATTTGTCAGGCCTGTAGATTTGCAGAGCAGTGGAGGAAAACCGCCTTTGCCGCTCCAGAGACAGGCCGCTGAAGCGATTCAACTTTGACTAGTGCGGTCGTGGCTGTTCCCCACACTTACAGCCAATTAAAATGCAACAGAAAGTGGGGCAGACAATCAGACACGCCGAGGTGTCTTTTTTCAACTTGTTGCGAAATTTGCGAGACAAGTTCCCTCAGTTGTTTCTGTAAAAGCTGCAGAGATGTAATGGATTATTTATCATCGATGTGCCGCACTGAGAAGCAGGCCTGGAGTTAGAACTCTGAGAGAAAGGCAGGGATTGAAAAATAGGCCCAAACAACAAGAACTGCCAAGTAAATCCTGACTCACAAGGTGTTTACCTTATTTTACACCAACATCAATACGTACACTGCAGATCCCCTCACTCCTCATTGAAACACCTGCTTACCAATATAAGAAACACCTCTATCAGCAGGTACGCAGATACCCGACAATTAACATCATCATTATGCCAGCTGTTTTTAAAAATACCTGAAATAAGAATAAAAAAAGCAACAAATAGGTATTATTAGATAGCCGACATTAAATTATTTTCAGTTTCATGAACAAAAACACACACTCCCACATTCTGTCAAATTTACTTTCAAGTGCTTACAAGAACCAGTCGATACCCGAGCCAGCCTCTCTTTTCAGAGCTCGTCACTTTGTATTACCGACACGTGTTAGGAAGAAAACAGTCTCTGAATACCAAAGTTACCTCCAAATAAACACGTAAACACTGGCACTAATGTGAAATAGCCCAAGACGAAATGTAGCATGACATATTAGATTAACTTCAGCTTGCATGATAGGTAATGAGAAGAAAATTCATTATACAGCAGTGATAGAAAAACTCTGTTTAGTGTAAGTGAATGAGCTTCTCTTTTCATATAGTCCAAGCTGTACTCAGTACTTGATCGAGGCTCCTTCTCCATCAGATTAATGTAGTGCAGTGTTTCCCCTGGGGAGTGGGGGTCGCTGTTACCCCCACTCTCTTGCTGCTCGAAAAGCTACGCTGTTATGTTGCGTTACGTTTCCCGCGCTATATAGCTATGTATAACTTTAAACGTTATTCTTCACATTAATGGAAGAGGGTCTGACAGGATTTGATGCGCTCATTGATGATCCATAACAAGTCGAAAATAATGTCGTGTGTTGTTGTGCTTTCACAGTTCGAGTAGAAATCAATCGTGGCGCATTGCTATTAATGCTACTAATGCTACTAATGCTATTAATGCTACTTGCTATATAGACTGTGTATAAGCTTGAACGTTACCTTTCACGTTAGTGGAAGAGGGTCCGACATGATTTGATGCGCTCGTTAGAGGGAGGGGAGTGGAAATAAATTGTGGCGTATTGATATTAACTCTACTAATGCTATTAATGCTACTCGCTATATAGACTAGGGCCCGACCGACATGGATTTTTTGGGGCCAATGCTGATACAGATTATTAGAGGGGAAAAAATCTGATTAGTGATTAATCGGCCAATTTTTTTTTTTAAATTAAATTATATATTTTTTTAAAATGTGTATGTAATGTGTACTGTTGTTTATTCTACCGTTACAGGCACAACTAACAGTGTAGCAAGGCTAACAGCAGATGGCTAACTCTAACTTTAGCTTGCATATTACATGGTGCTTCACCGTTAACTTGACGTGACCGAGACCAGCACAGCGGGGAACATCGTGAAGTGGGTTGAACTGAAATTCGTTGTCTTATTGTGTATTTCACAAACTGGTTTATTTACCGTTGAGGTGGACCACTCTCCTCCGTGCGTCCCTGAGCTGTCTGCTCCAGATCCGTCACTCTGCTGTGCTGTGAGGTAGTTAGTGGATGAAGATTGTCATGAGGTCGCTGCGCCATCTACTGGATAAGTTGGGGGATCTTTTCAAAAGGCAGAACATTTTCGAAGTGAAACTGAATCTTATTCTCCGCATTTTATTTCTGAAAAATATCGGCGAAAATTGTTGAGTTTGGGCCGATTATTGATTAGTCTCAAATGGGCTAAAATTGGCTGATTTAATCGGCTCGCCAATAAATCGGTCGGGCCCTAATATAGACCGTGTATAAGCTTGAACGTTACCTTTCACATCGATAGAAGAGGGTCCGACAGGATTTGATGCGTTTGTTGATGATTCAAAACAAGTCGGAAATAACATTGTGTGTTGTTGTGCTTACACAGTGCGAGTAGAAATCATTGGTAGTACATTGATATTAATGATCATGTGAAATTTCAGTAGCGGCGCACGTAATTCAGCAGTCGCTTTAACTTTGATGACTTTGATTGTTGGCTCTCATCTTTCTCTTCATGGTACTCCAAAGAGCCTCCATTTCTGGCAGTTTTGGCGCTGATATGAATGAAAAAGGAAATCTGAATCTCTGTAAAGCTTTCTCAGCAGATGGAAGCATGAAGAGCTCGAGAATCTCAGTTGGTTGACTCAAGACTTGACACTCTTGGACCTTGATTTACAAACAAGATGCGAAATTTACTTGCAACTAAAGCAAGTAAGTAGTCAAATGCTTTTTTCTCTCTGGTTCAGGAGTGGCTTGACAGAAAAAAGAAATACAGCACTTGTAGTCCATTTCCTGGACCCATCTGTGTGTAGAGGCTCTTGATACTCCCACTCCAGCCTCAGTCCACCCTTGTGAAGCTCTCCTTGAGTCTGCTTTGTTCGATGATCCTCTCAAGGCTGTGCTTATCCCAGCTTTCAAGCTCCCATAAGGAGTTTTTAACACTGATAAAATTCATACTGATGCTTTTTCACGACATTTTCAAAAGCAAACAAGAACATCAGAGACAGGACTCAAGATTTTCATGTCCTAGTTTTAATGCGAGGGAGGTAGGTGTCAGCTGAGGAGTTCCTCATTGGAGCTTTAAGGGGAACCTTATAAGATCTTACTACACATATAGGCGAAATATTCTTTTATGTCTCCCTCAGGCAATAATTGGGCTTAAAGTATTCGATGAGTGGCTCCAAGTGTGAAAGGGGGAAAAAAAGTGATATAAAAAGCGTTATAAGAGGACCTAACATGGATCTATCGAGCAGCATCACGCTCTGCATGTAATCATATGTGCAGTCATGAATGTGCCACGACTGATATATTTTCTTAGAGTGAAATGCAGCAGAGAAATTCTCAGAGCGATAAATCCAATCCTTCCTTATCTGATTTGACTGCAGTGTTGTCTCAATCCAACATCTTTTTCTTCTTTCAATACCATGAAAAACACATAAAACAACCTCTTAAAGTGATCTTTCCATTTAATTAAACGTCCAATTCTTCAACATGAAGACTGTGAGACTTCCTCAGAGAAAGCTTGTAAATACATATTACAGCCAAAAGTCTAATAAATGTCCTACACCATGTTAGGTAAGGAAATGCAAGTAAATACATGCCAGATGTAATAGTCCCTTTTAGTATTGTTCACTATTTCTCCTTTTAGCACACAGACTCAAGGCGGTACATAAAAGTCATGCACCAGTGGAAGAAAGCGGAGGGAACAGCGAGAACCATAACTTCAATCAAATGTCCCCGTATAAAGAGAGGAGGAATATTTGAACTCAAAAAATCTCAAGTTATGACTCAGGCACCTGCAGTGCAGATGTTTAAGCCCTTTTATGGCACAGAAAAACGCTTCACAAATATGCTCAGGCTAATCAAAAATAAGAGGTTAAATTAGGGGAACAGATTGTGCAACAAAGCACAAATAAGAATTTGGGATAAATACGCTATTAGCATATGTGAGGCGCTCCTAAATTTTCAGCTGGGCTGAGTAGGCACAAATCTCATCAGGCGGCGACAGCAAGAGGAGGACTAGGTGGATTTAGCGGCTGTGAGCCACCGTTTTTTTTTCTCTTTTTCTTTTTTTCCCCCAGTTTGAAAACAACAGCAGAGTGACGAAGACGTTTCAAAAAACAACACGTTCCTTCTGTTCCCATCTGTAGCTCGCGTCGTCTGCAGAGTAATTTGGGATGATGCACTCGGCGGTGAGCTCCTATTTTACATTTATCACGGCCCTAATGCAATCACACACACCGAGATATTAGGGAGGAGAGGAGTGGGGTGGAGCGGAGCAGGGGGGAGCATGGCCGGGGATGAATCCCAGCAGCTCTCTGAGAGTGGGGAAACAAATCTACAAGTGACATTCGATTCCAGCTGACAGCTTCTTATAAACACTGGCTTATGAGGTGATTTATACCAGTTCATAGGAGGGCAGTGGGATTTTTAAAAGCTCTCACGCCACTTCATAACACCTACCAGTCTCGCTCATTTATCTTCCTCAAACTTGGCCTTGTCATTCATTTTCGTTTTCTTCCACTCTCAAAAACAAAAGATATAGATCATGGCTAAAACTGAAATTGAAAATAGATAACACAGCACAAACTCTTAAGTAACCAAAAAAAAAATCTGCTTTTATAACAAACAAACATAGAAAAGTTAGAAAAGAGAAAAAGAAACATCTTTGACCCGGTGTTTCTCTCCTCAGCTTGACAGCACAATAGTGCTCGCATCATTATCAGAACTTATCCACTTCTCTGAAATTGCCTTCTGCCTGTGAAATTAATGACAGGCATTTGTACAGTGACAGGCGGCACCCAATACAACTGTAATCTCTCTCCGACTGTGTCGCGACGCCGCACGGGACACGAGGAAAACAAATGGAGAGACAACAGGGCTTGTCATTAGTCTTGGCACGGACTCAAGGACGCAGAAGGGATGCTTTGTGAGTGACAGTGGGGGAACAATCTGCTTGCTGTTCTTCGTTTTTCATGATAGGACTCATTCGGGAGTGGAAATTCACAGGTGACTGTGCAGGCAGCAACATCTTTAAAGTACAAACAACATTGAGTGCTGTACACCATTACTGCCTGTTTGTGTTTGGAGAGTGCAAAAGAAGAAGAAGGAGAAGAATGTAAAAGAAGAAGAAGAAGAGGAGGAAGGAGAAGAAGAAGAGGAAGAAAAGGAAGGAGAAGAAGGAAAAGAAGAAGGAGAAATATGTAAAAGAAGAGGAAGAATGTGAAAGAAAAAAAAGAAGAAAAATGTAGAGGAAAAACAATGTAGAAGAACAATGTAGACAAAGAAGAATGTAGATGAAAAAAAGGATGCATAAGAAGACCAAGAATGTAGAAGAGGAAGACTGTAAAAGAATGAAGAAAAAGAAAGTAGAAGAAGGAGACCAATGATGAAGAAGAACAAGGATGTAAAAGAAGTACGAAAGGAAGAAGAATTAAGAAGGAGAAGAAGGAGATTTAAGAAGGAGAAGAAGTAGAATTAAGGAGAAGACGAAGAAGAATGTAAAGGAAGAACAATGTAATAAAAGGAAATAGGAAAATGTAGATGAAGAAGAATTGAGAAGAAGAACGTAGATGAAGAAAGAATGTAGACGAACAAAAAGAATGTAAAAGAAGAAGAATGTAGAAAAAGAAGATGAATGTAAAAGAATGAAGAGGAAAAAGAATGTAGAAGAAGAAGACCAAGAATGAAGAAGAAAAACAAAGATCTAAAAGAAGAATATAGAAGAAGACCAAGAATGAAGAAGAAGAATGAGAAGAATGTAAAAGAAGACCAATGTAAAAGAAGAATAAAGAAGAAAAATGTAGAGGAAAAATAATGTAGAAGAAGAATGTAAAAGAACAAGAAAGATATTGAAAAAGAAGAGGAATAAAAGAGAAGAAGAATGTAGAAAAAAAAGAGGAATGTAAAAGACACAGAATGTAAAAGAATGAAGACAAAGAAGAAGAATGTAGAAGAAGACCAAGAATGAAGAAGAACAAGAATGTGGAAGAAGAGGTAGAATGTAGAAGAATAAAGAAGAAGAAGAAGAAGAAGAAGAAGAAGAATGTCGATCTACTCAAGTTGAAGCCATCATCTAACCTGTGAAATTTTGAGCATACTCAGTCAGTAGCATGTGTTTCCTCAGGGTGGTGCTATGGCTGTAGTAGAGAAATAGTTTCATGAATGTGTTCAGGGGTGAATCTTGATTATGTTTATGAAACATCAAACAGTTTGAACCCGGCATGAATGAATCAAAATGACTTCCTGTTTCCAGTCCGCCACTTTCAAACTTTGGAAAAACTCTTTGATAACTTTTTATTTTCCAATTTCGACAAGATGCTACATGATGTCAGACCATATGTGTGTTAACAATGATAAAATCTTAAAATCAATTGTGCAGAGAGATTAAGTCAAGTGGTAATGTGATGCCCTTCGCTAAAACCAGTAAGAAGCCTGATTTACTGGTGATGGTCCCATCAAGTACAAAGTCAATTCAGCTGTCCATCCATCCAATTTCTTCTCTTAATGGGGTTTCAGGGGTGGCTATCCCAGCTGCCATCAAGCCAGCGGTGAGGTACACCCTGACGAGTAGCCAGCCCACCTAACATATGGACACAATAACCACACACACACACACACACACACACAGTCGCATCAACAGGCAATTTAGCAAGACCAATTAAGAAAGTGACACCTGATTGCAATGTGACCTACATCCAATACCTCTAAAACAAAAACAACACAGACAAGTTTCTGACCCATGTTCAGCCATCACATGATCCACATCCCTCCTTGTTGTAGCGTCTTCTTCAGTTATTGACGCTTTTTTCCACTTAAACATCAATTTTCATGGGTAGTTTGGAGGGAAATTGGCCCTTTTTTTTTTGCCCACACGGCTGTCATATCATGATTGAATTCAACGTCAGCCCAATGACTGATTGCATTTCTGAGAAATGATGTTTTACGTTGAGTGAAATGTGCATTGAGCTGTACCGGACTGCACTAACAAGTGTGAAATTTTGAATGACGCGAAGAGTTTATGACTAAAATCTTATATTATGTGACTGCACAGAGGCTGTTTTGATGAACCACAGTTCCAATAATGTAAAATTGGTGCGACTGCTTTAGTAGAGTCAAAAGATTTGACATTTCTCTCCCTGAAAGCAGCCAGGCAGTTTAAATTGAGATAATATATTACACGTCAAAGCCATGATAATAAATGATTATTTGCAGGCAAGGTAGAAAAACGGCTAATATTAAACAGAGAGAGAAAGTATAGCTTTTACTTCAGCTCTCTGTCGCCTTTTCTTCCCTTCACCTTTGATAAAAAGAGATATAATGAAAAGAAAAGGAAGGTTTTGCAAGAAAGAAGGGGGGGGATTCTTGTTGCCTGGCAACGTCTCTCTAGAGAGAGAGATATGTATGTGTGTGGATGTCAGTGTGTGCTAGAGAGAGATTCTCCATAGGCTAATGTAAAAGCAGGCGGTGTATGTGTCTTTGTTTATTCGTGACCACGGTGGTCAAAACCGGTGGAAGAGGAGGGGGAACACGTGGCGAGCTGGAGCACCACATCAAGGCAGCCTGACAGTGCAGGCATTAGAGCTCTTCAGACAGAGGGGATAGGTATTTCAAAGATCCAATTAGGCCTGGACGTGTTTCCCATTAATCATTAGTGCCGAGGCTCCTCGAACGGACAGATGGGTAAGACACTCCTTCGCTTAAGAGTCACTGTCAGAAGCGATTTTTTTCTGCCCCAACTCAAATGGGCTCCTCAGGAGACTTTCTATCTAAATTTTAAAATTAGATAAAACGGGTGAAATGAAAAGCTTTCTCTGAAGAATAGTCCCCCACTTAATGTCATTTGGATTTAGTTAGAAACTGACTGGGCTACAGACTTGGGGGACAGCGGCTTGGTTACACTGACTGTGCAAATCATGACAAAATCCTTCAGAAAGCGAAACCTTTTAATGCCGACTTGTCAAAGCAAGGCGCTAAGTCCATGCCCTGAAGCTAGAATATGACAAGCAAGGTACTGCATCATCTTCATTTTAGTGGGAATTCCAATTAAAAGTGGGGTAGGCGGGATCTAAGAAAGTGCCAGTTTTGGGGAGAAATCTTGAATGTAAATACATTCCCTCCCAACCAGTTTCCCCCTTAGCTTCTCCTATCCCCGCACATAAACAGACCCTTGTTCTCTCTTGTATCGTTCTAATTAAATTCAAATATAATGCAGATAAACACTTCAGATAATTACAAATGGGGCCCAGTCAACGTGAAAGTAAAGAGCATTGGTGCTACTGTAGATGCCAACAGACTACCAACAAACACAATGTTTGCAGGACTTCTACAACTACGATAAAGTGACATAGTCCAGGACCCGAGGTAAACAGTTTAGCGGCGCTACAACACGCAGCAGGTCCTGTTAGACAAGAAATACTTCTGTTACAGACACTTGGCTTACTTTGTTAAAGCGGTTTACCTGTCCAGCAGAAAGGTTACAGGGTCCGTAAGGTCCCAAAGCGTCCCCCATCATTTATGCTTCATTGATGTTGACCTGGCTTTTTAGCTCTTGTCCGGTCAACCTTCTTTTAAGCTGATATCGATGACTAATAGCTATTGACTGATATTAAAAGCTTTATGTACGTTACAAAAAATCAAAATACCTTTACATATTAAGTCCATATATTTGCGCTTTTTTCCCCTGGATCTTTATGTACCTGATACTTTTGCACAGCTAGTTTTTATTCGATTTTACAGGATTGCTTTGTCCACAGGGGGCGCCAAAGCTGACACAAATTAAAAGTTTTAATTCTCTTCCATCCTCTCTCCCATCAAAAGTATTTCTACTCTGCAGCAAGACCTCTTGAAGACACTAACAATGCTTTCAAACATATTCGAGTGCACCGGGTTAAGCTTTGAAGAACTAAACGTGTTACATCATAAAATGGATTACATGGGCTCGCACAAACCTTGCACCATACATCAACCCATGCAATGAAGCCGGGCTTCGAACACGCATATTGGAAGACAAAGTGTTTGAAATGTCGGCATTAAGGCGTGAAATATATACATAGATTCAACATGCATGAAGAAGTTGCAGCATGCCATTCAAATATCAAAGATACTCTCACTGAACCTTGAAAATAAGGCGTGCAAATGGAGTCTGATTTGTTGCCCTTTTGCTCCGGCTGAATTGCCTGTGAATACCTGCTGCACTGCCGCGGGGGGATTTGACGGGCAATTTAAGATGTGTTAAGACCAAAAAGGTTTTGTGTCAAATGCTGGGGCTGCAGCACTGTCAGAGGGCATCAGCTCAGAGGCTCAGAACTTTCACACCCCTGATGGACGACAGTAATGGAAAAGAGCAGAGAAGTGTGATTTTTTGTGGAAACTGTCTGCTTTACAATCTATTTTTCCAAATCTATGCATCTTCACACTTTTTAAAGAAATTAGACAAAACGACGAGAACGTGACTCCAAAGCGGCGAAGAGATTGGATCCGGATTAGCTGCCTCTGTATATGTTTGGCAGCCAAGATAAAGCTCTTTACATTTCAATTTTGGGCATCCACTAAAGAGTTTGTCACCACTGACCACAAAGGCAAAAGCAGCTTCTGTCAATCTTATCTGCGCTCGCATGTACTCGTGCTTGATTTTGAAGCCCAGTCCCAACCAGAGGAGATAGAGCAGGGTTTCAACTAGAGGGTGGAAAGTGTTTCATTGGAGATAAAAACATCTCGGTTGGCGAAAAATGTTAAAAAGATGAGCTCTCTTGTGATAATCGGTCATTTAATCATGCTCTCCCATCAGTCTGAAAAGCCATTTGTCTTTTCCCCCCTCCATTTTATTTGATTCCCGCAAATGCACACTCCGGTCGAGATGAACATTTTGTTACTCAGAAAGACTCACGCTGTCAGCTCGGTGTAATAAAGTGCCACTTATTTAACAAAAATCATGTCCATTTCACCCAAAAATCTCTTTTCACATCAAATCGCTTATCATGCGTAAGCACCGTTTACTCAGTCGTCATGGTGAAACGGGGTCCGAATGGAGAATTCTTGGAAGGGCCTTGAAAAGCTTTTCACCATCTTGTAATGCGTCCTCAAAATGATCCAGAGATTGAAGAATTCTGCCCATTTAAACCATTACAAATCTCACAACAATCACAAATCCCATTAAATCAAGCGGCATCTTACCAAACTTAGTTTCAATTTTCTCCAGCTACTCAGGAAGATGATTTTTCTCTTTAAGGAGCAGCACCAAAATTTGAAGATTGACACGCTTGATATTACTGCCAAAAAAGAAGGCTTAAAAGCTTTGGTTGTACCTGCATAGATTTATTTTAACAAACCAGTTATTTTGTTGTTCCGTTAAATCCCAAATACTTCAAAAACTAACAGGAAGTGTGACAGCACCTGAGGCGAGAAGAAGGGAAAAGGTAAATTTGTTGATTTTTCAGTGCTTCGGTTTAAAAAAGAAAAAAGTTAAAATCGCCAAGATTTCCTACACTGTCAAACTGACTCAAAGGGATATTCCAGCGTAACACCAAGTTAGACACCCCCTCGAGTAATAAATGTTGCCGACCGCTTGCTTCTTTAGTTTTACCAACTTTAGTAACGACCGCACGATGGCAATACACAGCTGTCTCAGGAGCCACACATGAACCGAAACCAAGTCGCCACTCTATAGCCACAAATAATACTCAGAACAGCACCTAACTTCATCAACAGTACATATAGGGTCTCAGCCATAGTACTAGCCACCAAACATCTTTTTAGCTTTGCCGCTTGTTTGTAGGGAGACCTTGGACAAGTCCATCATCAACTACGGTGGGGTGACGCAGCTCAAGAAAGAACATTTATAATCATTTCTTCATGGAAATGCAATCAGACCGAGATGCTAAGGCAGAAGAACTACAGAGTCTGCAGTGCAATATGGTTAATATTGATGATTATTACTTCAAGGAAATGATAAAGAAATTATCATAAATGTTCTTCCTTGAGCTGCGTCACCCCGCTGCAGTCAATGATGGACTAGTCCGAGAAAACGGACAATCGGTGTGGTTCATTCGATTTGTCTACATATTTTTATGTTATTTTAAAAACCTGCATTCCCCCTTGGGTGTTGCTCAGTTTTATATTTGTAAGAGTAGATCTTTTTGAGCACTGAAGATTCTTACACTTTGCACAATAAGGAATGTCATTTTATTTAGATTTTATTTATTTGTTATTATGTTAATGTTTATGCCACTGGGACATTACTTTGTACTTTGTTATTACTCGTACTAGTCTTGATTACCTCTGGCTCTTTAAGGCCCCATCTTTAATTTTTTCAGTTTATCGTTCCTCTGTTATTTAAGGTTAAGGAAACGTTCATTCTGCATATAGTTTTGATTGTTTTTTTTTTAATAAAACTTTGTTAAATGATTTCATGGCGTGTATAAATACTTTTTAAACATTTAACATATTTCCACAATACCGTGATAATATTGATAACCTTGATAATTTGGGTCACAGTAATCGTGATGTTAAATTTTCATATCGTTACATCCCTACTTGTCAAGAGGAAAAAGCATTGTACTTTCTTTAAGCTTTAAACTCGGTGAACTCGTTGACATCTGATGGTTTTTTAAGACCTGTAGCAGCTCCAGTAATGAATGCCTCACATACTTTTGAGTCTCTGTCAGATTCACTCCATTTGTAAGGATGAGAGAAGCCTTGATGTATTGAAATGAAACTATGTGTGAATTTTTAATCAAATGTATTGCATTCAATATTTATACATCAGCCCCTATATGAAATTGTGAATTTTTTTTTTTTTTTACTTTCTTATATATGTGATCAGGCTGTTGTTGGAACTGTTGCCAGGATGCCACTGCAGTGATGGAAACAATACGAAACGACGCCACACAGGAATAAACGGTGTAGTGTGTTGCCTTTAAAACACAAAGCAGGTGGATATAATTCTCTGCCTAGTTTGATTAGAGAGTGAGGAGTCAGTAAATGGGGTTTAAATAACAATGGTGTGAAATTAATTTATCACTCAGCGGAACAAACAGACAGTTGTTAGGAAGGAAACGACTCTTCGCCACATCCCAGCGTGAGCCAGCATTTGAACTTAATCAGATAATGGCTTCCCGGGCGAGCGTAAACACATCGCTCTGCTCTCCATTGTTCCAGGCTGAGCTTGTGAACATGTCACGTTTTTTTTTTTTTTTTTTTCAAATTCGCACTGATACACTCGTTCGCACCTGGAGGCTGCCCCGGGGCAAGCGCAGAGATGCGGCGCCGGACGGCTGAGCAGCTCTACCGAAGCGGTGGGGAGCCTGGATGGAGGGCAGCGCGGTGTTAATTGCCAACAGAGAGGGGAGCAAGATCCAGTCACCTCGCAGTCTGTCATAGAATCGAAAGAGATTGTGCTTTACCGGCCACAGGGAACAAGGACGACGCCACAATGTGAAAACTTATTCATGTGCATCGGTTATTGACAGAAAGAAAAGCCTATATTATGACAATCTCTCTTTTGCACGCCATCTGCACTTCAAGCCTGTTGCTTTTTCCTCTGTTAGAAGCTTAATTAGTCCGTTGCTGAGCCACTGCTTGCCTCCGTACGCTTTATGCCATGATCATACACTTGGGCATTGGGCAGCTGGTATGCTCTCAAAGCAATGAGTCATAGCAGATGAAAATGTTTCACACTCAAACAAGGGCACAGAAAGATAATGGCCAGCTCTGGTGCAAAAGGGACGGGGACAAAGATGAGCCACGGAGAAGAGTGTTTGTGTGCGTGCATGGATTTTCATGGGGTGATGAATGAGTTGAAACAAAATCACAGTGCTGAGTTAGCTTGTCTCCTCTTATGGGAAGACATTATCCTTCCCTCTGTGTGTGTGTGTGTGTGTGCAGCTTCATTTGTGTGTGTTTTCTGCTTCTGCAAACAATCTCCTGCAGGGAGGGAGGGAGGGAGCATCTAAGCGCCAGTGCTCTTTCTTCATTTGTTTATGCCTTGTGAATGCAAAGCCCATCCGACCTCGTGCGCACGACACTGACTTGCCCAAACTCAACAGCCTTGTTATGAAACCCCTCTGGGTTCTATCACATAAGGCGAGCTGTACATCGCTCGGGTCTAACCATGCCTTATTTATGCGCCACCTCGGGCTTGCTGTCAGCCTAGGCAGTCCTCCCCCCCCCTATGTATCCACACTGTGCGAATCTTTACAGTAACACGCTTTATCTAAAACAGCTCTGTTCCACCCAAAAGCTGTTCTGCTTTCTACAGATCCCCCCTCTTTTTCTCCCATCCTTACATAAACAACCTGCCCTCCCCTTCTTTTTCCCTCAACCCCCTGGATAGCACTTCATTAAAACCAAAAGTTTCAGGCAAATTCTTGGCACTGAAATTAATTCGCAAGCAAAATTTAATGATGGAGACAAATTTTAGGGGGGTGGAAGACTTTTTTTTTTTTTTTTTATACTTAATTTTTTTTTGCTCAAGCAGCTGAAAAGACTTTGGTCTCTTGTGGGTTTTTCAGAGAAGACTATCAAAAAGACATTTGTTTTAAACACAAGCAGCCAGAGTGTTAAATTCCAGTGCAGCATTGTCAGATACAGCTGATAATTTTCTTTTGCTCAATAGCTGTCTAAAAACAGCCAGACAAACTTTAAAAAAAACACAACAAACTCAATAAAAAACTGCCCATATAGGACCACTTAACATCCCTCTTAAGCCAGCAGAATCAGCCCAAATAGGAAAACTTCAAAACCCTTTTAAATCACTGAAAACAAGTCCAATTAGTGTCGCCTCAAATAGTGATCAACTCATCCCAATTTATGACTACCTTAAAAATGTCCAAGTATTATTACAGCCCACCTTAAAACAAGTCCCAAAGACCACCTTAAATCTCACCTGACTCAATGGAAACAATTCCAAATTGTGACCCCCTAAAAAAAGTCCCCAAGTCCCACGAAGGACCACCTTAAAATCCTGTCAAACATATCAAAAACAGCCCCAAAAAGGACCACAATTTAAACTTTCCAACTCAGTTAAAAACTAAATTACAGCCACCTTGAAACCAAACATGCCTACTGAAAACCAGCTAATATAGAGACCACCTTAAAACTAGGGCACGACCAACATGGATTTTTTTGGAGCAGATGCCAATACTGATTATTAGGGGGGAAAAAATCTGATTACCGATTAATTGGCTTATTTTTTTAAATTTTTATGAAGTTCTAGAAAATACATTTATACTGTAGATATCTACAGTATACTACATACTTTATACTATATACTATACTAGATATACTGTAGGCTACTGCTCTTTACGCTGCCTCCGATCGGTGTCTCCGCGTCTTAACTCACATTGCTCATTTACGGTCCGGTCTCATCTGAAAACATGCAGCTGCCTCAGTAAGAGAAGTAGCTCGATCACGTAATGTGTACTGTTGTCTATTCTACCGCTACTGGCACGGCTAACAGTGTAGCAAGGCTAATAGCAGGTGGCTAACTCTAACTTTAGCTTGCATATCACACAGTGCTTCACCGTTAACTCGGTGTGACCGAGACCAGCACAGCGGGGAACAATCTACTGAAAACCAGTTAATATAGTGACCACCTTAAAACCACCAAACACATGAAAACTCTCCCAGCACGAGTCAAATAAAGACCACAGTAGACCCTCTTATCTTACTGAAAATTAGCCTTATTTATGACCACCGTAAAATTGCCAACCAATTAATAATAGCCCAACTTAAAAACCTGTCCAACTCCTGGAACTCCAGCTCAAATTTGACCACTAGAAAACCCATAAAACTCAATAAAAAAACCTGCCTAACTTATGACATTTACAACACCCAGCCTTAATTATGACCAACCTATAATGTGCTCAACTCAGGTGATAAACAGCCCAAAATATGACCAACCTGCCGGAGCAAATTGAAATAAACCAGAATTATAACCACTGTGAAAATGTTATCCAGATCAATAAAAAAACATTAAAATAGGACTTAAAACTAAACTGGATTCCAGCTCTGAATTCTTAAAAGAACCTTCATGTATATCTCTTCTGGATTGAAATAAAAACAGAATAACGTCCTTTATCCTTTTCTAAACTACGTGGGGTTTTAAAGCTACTATAAGGGTATTTTAGCTTGATATAAAAGAATCTCTTGGGGACCTAGAACAGCAAATATTCTCATATGTGCTCACCGCCTTTAAGCTGACAAGTTGTCCTCTCTGCTTTTAACTACACCGTCACTTCTCCCCTCAGCTCCACCGCTAGTGTCACCTTGTCACAGCAGGTAGGCGCTGTGATGTTAAAATGATGCACAGAACCTGCGTGGCTGCGAAATAAAAGCAGAAATCGCAGCGTATCATCCCTCTGATACCGCTTCAAAAGAGTTGACTAAGTTTTCAAAAGTCTAATTTTAGCCTGGCATAATATTCTGAAAATGTGTTTTGTTGTTGTGGTTAACTCGGCCAACTCCTGCAGATTTACTGGGTTCTTTCCAGCTCACACAAACACACACACACACTCTTTCCCACCATCTGTGACCGACGGGAGTGATGTGCTGCGATCAGCTCCCTGGTGTAAGGAGCACACGGGAGCGTACTGAGTAGCAAACTCTTCCCCCCCTTACACCTCCCCCTCGACTTTTTTGGAGCCTCTGGCTAGTGCGCCTCGAGTCGATAAATGATCTTCAGGGCCGCAGTGTTCATGGATGACGCGATCTTGCACGTAAACACACACGAAAGCAAGAACATGATTAATGGAGGAGATGATATGATGAGAAAAGTACAACTGCAGCTCATTTGGTGCAGTGGGAAATACTTTGTGTACACTGTGGCCTTCTTATCTGATATGGAAATGCTTATGTGATGCAGAGTCAGGTTCACACAGGAGCCTAAAGTCTGCCTGAAGCCCTGCGAAGGACCATAGTTTACACCAGTGGTTCTTTACTGGTCTCACTCTGGGACCCACATTTCACGACCCACTTTTATAGAATTCAAACGTAGCAAATTTAGTTTTTTATATTAAGAAAAAAAACCTTTAGAGACCCAAATCTTTAACACAAATACACCTGTTTTATTGAGTAAAGTACATTTCAGAGCACATGAACTGAGGACGACAACAACTGGAGTTGCGTGTACAGAAAATATCAAATATCAAATAAATATCAAATTGCACAAAATAAGCTATTTTTTAAAATAAAAGACATGTCAAACATCAGATGCGCATTAAATATTTTCTTTTTTGACCAGCTGTTTGTGACCCATCCAGAACGTGTCCGCGACCCATTTTTGGGTCGGGACCCACATGTTGAGAACCACTGGTTTAAACTATAACAACCAACTGGACATAGGACAGTTGGACATCTACCACTTTTTAGCAAACATGGATGTTTGATGATGTTAAGACAAAAAGTCGAAACAGCGTTACTGTCTCGCTAGCGTATCTATTTAAACCCACCTAAAACTTGCTAACGTTGTTAGCTGACAGGAGATTTGTCCAACTTAAGATTGTTATTAATTCAACACATGATAATTATTAAAAAATCTGGAAAAAACATGAAATTTATAAGGCTGTTAATAATTTTAATACAACAGATAGTTAGGGTAACATTAAAAACAAAAGGATTTAAGGGTAAATTTCCACGTTAGCATCACTAAGTTATTGCCGTAGCATCACAACTCAATTTTTGCTAACCATAGCATCGCATCTTTATTATTTCACATCAAGATTCAAAATTTTAAAAAAGGAAACATTTTTAATAAAGTCTCTATACTTTGTTGTATCTTAGCTCTAGCATAAGATTTAAAAAACTATAAAATTAGCTGCTAGCTAACAGTTAGCATTGACATTTAAACTATTTTCATCCAGCAAAAATAGTTGATGCCTCTGCCTGTAAATACAGATTTCATAAAAACACACATGCACCTTTATGTTTCATATTCTTGTATATTATAATATAGAAAAGGTGAAGTCTTTGCTAGCTGTAGTGTTAGCCTAGAAGTGACTGAATGCTAACATTTGCTGTCAGATCATAACTAAGTTGCTTTAACCTGAAATATGACTTTTGTTTCTCCAGCGAGTTTTTTTTCTCCAGAGTGATGTCTGGAGAAAACGGCTGTCTTGTGAATACGTCCCATTCTTCATACAACTTTCAAGTCCTATAAAGATAAAATTAATCTGCGTTGTCTTTTTTTTTTTTTTTTCTGCAACAGCAGCACAACTAGCCGTGGCAGCTAGCCAGGTTAAAGCCATTTTTCTTTCTGTTCCAAAACTGGTTTTATAGTCCTGCGGCTCCCCTTCTCTGACAAACAAATATAGTAGATAATTACAGAATCAAGTTCAGCTACAGTAAGCAGTTATAATAACCTGTCATAAAACCTACCTCTTTATAAATGTGGGGCTTAGGGTCACAATAACAGTCCTGTGTCTTTCAACTTCTCTCAATGTGCTTGTTTATGTGTGCATTCACACTGCTTTGTTGGGAAACAGTGTGAACATATGGTACCACCAGCATCGCTTTACTTCACACTTGGTTTATCCTCAGCTTATAGAATCGTAACACTTAGGATAACACTTCTGTGGGGAGAAAAACAAAACACACACACACACACTTCTAGATTGAATTATGAGCTGTTGTATTGCATAACCTCGTACACTGTTGTTCTCTTCATTCTTCATATAAGTTGTTTTTTTATACTGTAGCATTAGTCCTCTGTGTAAACTCCTTCCACTCAGTGCTGGGAAAAAAATCAAGTTAAATCTTTGTGAGCTTTGATATAAAATCTCAGTACATTTACAACTTGGCACACCTCGCCTGTGAGGATATTCGAACTGAATCGTTTACTACGGACATGAATAACATTTTTGTCCAATCAGGACAAGCCGATTAAATCGGCCGATTTTAGCCCATTTGAGACTAATCAGTAATCGGCCAAAACTCGCAGATTTTTACCAATATTTTCAGAAATAAAATGCGGAGAATAAGATTCGGTTTAACTTCGAATATGTTCTGTCATTTGAAAAGTTCCCCGACTTATCCTGTAGATACCTCATGACAATCTTCATCCACTAACTACCTCACAGCACAGCAGAGTGACGGATCTGAAGCGGACAGCTCAGGGACGTACGGAGGAGAGTGGTCCGCCTCAACGGTAAATAAACCAGTTCGTGAAATACACAACAAGTCAACAAGTTTCAGTTCAACCCACTTCACGATGTTCCCCACTGTGCTGGTCTCTGTCACACCAAGTTAACGGTGAAGCACCATGTGATATGCAAGCTAAAGTTAGAGTTAACCACCTGCTATTAGCCTTGCTACACTGTTAGCCGAGCCACTAACGGTAGAATAAACAACAGTACACATTACGTGATCGAGCTACTTCTCTAAAGCACCGATCAGTCAGTCTTCCTGTCGGCGTTAAGAGCAGTAGCCTACAGTACATCTGTACCGTAGATATCTACAGTATATGTATATTTTTTTAAAACTTTATTCTACTAGATTAATCGGTAATCAGATTATTTTCCCTCCCTAATACCATATTTTTCGCACTATAAGGCACACTGAAAATCCTTTTGGCTTGTTGGAGCATTGCAGCTACCGTATCCTCGCGGAGTTACTGAATGAGTTAAATAAAGTGTGACTTATCCGACTGTTCTGTTTGGCTTAATGCGCTTCATAATCCGGTGTGCCTTTTGTATGAAAATAGACGTGAATAGACGCGTTCATTGATGGTGCGCCTTATAATCAGGTGCGCCTTACAGTGCGAAAAATACGGTAATCGGTATCGGCCCCCAAAAATCCATATTGGTTGGGCCCTACTTTGCACACCTCCCCTGTGAGGATATTTGAACTTAATCGTTCACTACGAACATGAGTAACATTTTGTGCAATCAGGACCACCCCTTGCATGCTCACAGGACAAAAAAAAATCCATGGTCCAAAGTCCGAAGGTCACTAAGGACTTGGTGTCAGAAGTCCTGAGTTGTTTCATTCATCTGAAAGAGCGAGGCCGAAGGTGAATCCGATTTAAATAAATTACAATCCCCTGCTACATTGTATGTCCTTTCAGGTGAGCAGAATAAGGTTAAATATCCTGCAGTACAGGCACGGAGGGAACATCACTCAGCAGAGGTGACATATCTATCCTGGTGTAAGTGGTTTTGGGTTGAGAATTGGTCGAGGGGTGTAATAACATCATATTTCATCGTATTGAGCGGTCTTTCAGCTCTGTGTTGTGATGAAACCCACGAATAGTGAGACATCTTTTGAAAAATGTGCCGTGGCCAATTTTTTTTTTTTGCTCTTATTCGGATGCAATTTTCTTTTTTTAATTGAGTTTTTAATTTTTTTTTTTTGGCAAAGAGGTCACCCGAGAGTTACGCCTTTCAGGTCTCTAGCGAGGGGGGGGAATACAGCTTAATTGAGTTAAAAAGGTGAATAAAAACTTGAAGCAATAATTAGTCAAGAGAACACAACAAAGCATAGAAGGAGGATGGAGCTTATTGTTTAATTTATAGGGAGTCCGAGATTTAGTGGAGGCACTTGAGAATTCCTATTCGTCTACTATCTTTCTCATTAAATTAGCACTTAATTAAGACTCATCTAGCTCCTTTCCTGACATGTTCAGGCTTTCTCTTCTTTCCTCTATGCAACTCTTGTGATAAAACACAAAAGTTAAAACTTACAGCGTAAGCACTATAGAGCTCCCCCACCTCCCTTGCTTTTGCTCCCGAGCCTCCCGCAGACAGCTTTACCCCAGGGCCAGCTAACGAACGGCCTGCCCAATGAACCAAAACGGCTAAATGACTTGTTGTTCCGGCGCCGCGCATCAAAGCCAGGTGCATTTATGGCACTGCAGACGACGGGGGTTGAAGAAATCCGAAGGAATGCTGCTTGTTAGTGTCAGTGTGTCAACTCGGCTGTGAAAAAAAACGAGAGGGGAAATGTATCAGGGCAGGAGGATCAAGGTAATAAAATCAAACCGGAACTAAGGTAGGTCGTGGGGGAGGAATGATAGGGATGGCGGCGCGGCCCCAGTGGGTGGCAATCTTGGGTTTGCTAGACTTAAGGTTTTTATTGCCGTTTTATTGATGTTGAGGTAAATGTCAGGTTGCGGCAAAGAGGTGGCATTATTTCAGTATCAATATGGGATGAAGTTAAAGAAGATGGAGAGAAAAGAGGAGGAGTAGATCCAGAGGTAGAGTGATGTGGCGTGATAATACACTGGACAAAAACAACCGGTATCCGGAAAGATCTAAGAAGTTCGGATTGATTTGTCACATAATAACTTCAGAGATATCACTCTGAGATTACATCTGATAAAGGTTTTGTCTGCGTAGGATTTCTGTTATGTAGCATATTGAATTTATGTGTCACAAAGGAAGCAGACCAAGCAGACTGGTCTCATTTAGCATTTCCAGGAAGCAGCACAGAGCAGGAAATATGAAGAATGTTATCTGAGATATTTGAAGTGATTTACAATGCTGGCTTGGGAGGAATTCAGCTTTCAAATCTGGGGTTGTGTTATTCTAAAGTGACACATTTTGCAGACTCCAATTAACAAAGATAAATTGAGATAACATGTTTAAAAGTAAAGCATGTTAAATTTCAGTACAGTCTTCTTGAACTTCAAAGCTCCTGAGTTATTTTCATGTCGATAAAAATAGACTGAAATTCATTTATATTCCTTTGCATGACATCTAAAAGCAAAAAAGAGCATCAGTGACAAGATTGATGATTTTTATATAATGATTTTTGATGGTTGAAGTTGGAGTTAGAGAGTAGGCATCAGTTCAGTTTCCACATGCAGTGATAGATACTTTTGATTAGGGCCTGACCAATTTATTGGCGAACTGATTAAATCGGCCAATTTTAGCCCATTTGAGACAAATCAGTAATCGGCCAAAACTTGCCGATTTTTGCAGATACAGTATTTTCATAGATAAAATGCGGAGAATAGGATTTGGTTTCACTTTGAAAATGTTCCGCCATTTGAAAAGTTCCACAACTTATCATGTAGATGGCGCAGTGAGTTAACGGATCACCATGTAATATGCAAGCTAAAGTTAGAGTTAGCCACCTGCTATTAGCCTTGCTAAACTGTTAGCCGCGCCAGTAACGGTAGAATAAACAACAGTACACATTACGTGATCGAGCTACTTCTCTTACTGAGGCAGCTGCATGTCTCCAGATGAGACCGGACCGGAAATGAGTAACATGAGTTAAGACGCGGAGGCACCAATCAGCAGCGGGGGAGGTTGGGGTTGTTGAAAACGCTTTTCTGGTCCGAGTTTAATTCATGATAAATACGTGGAATATCACTGAGATCAACGTCGGTCTTCCTGTCGGTGTAAAGAGCAGTAGCCTACAGTATATCGAGTGTTGCTCATTTTTTTATGATGTACGTGAGTTCGCTTTATTTTTATTCATTTATATAGGCTATGTATTTTAGAGAATGACGAGTGTGTGAGTTTGACAAGACAGAGGTTGACAAAATAATCAGACTCACACCCGCTACAGTCTGAATTATGAGCTGAAAAGAATTAGTTTATCATCTTTATTACAGTTAAAATAAATAGCCAGAGGTGAAGTGTACGTCATATTATGAAAACACAACTAAAGAAAATGCTTAATGTAGACTATGAGTTTGAAAATGGCCCATATATAACTAGACAGATTCTTTTCAACAATGCGTATTAAATGAATACTTGCTGTTCTCACTTTTTTTCTTTTTGTTGTTGTTTTTACAGATGTCAAAAGAAAGCGAGCGTAGCAAGGTGTGGGACCACTTCACCTCGAGCAAAAGAGTTGGAAGTTAACTGTTTGCCTCATTCTTTTTCAGTTATTTTAGCAATTAAGAGGATTTTAAATAAGTTTTCTGCCTTTAATTCTTTGAAGAAGTGTTTGAAAAGCTCAAGAGCAGCCACTTGTAGATAAATTACTTAAATTAACAAAATTTTAAAAAATCGGCCAATTAATCGGTAATCGGATTCCCTCCCCCCCATATATATATTTTTTAAATGTTTCTTAAAGGAGCTTTAATGTTCAAATATTTACAGACAGAGATCCAACCTCGAGTCTCAAGAACCGTCTTTAAACCCTTTAATTATTCAATCACACCAAGATCCTGCACAGAGCCCTATTATGTCCATTCATTCCAGTGATAATGGTCTGATTATTTCATGGCTGTCTGCCTAAACATGCAGTCGGGAAGCCAATTAAACTAACGCCTGGGCAGTTTGAGTCCCCGGTAAACATTCGGTAACATGAGCCTGAACATTTCTCTTCAGAGTGAAGTCAACAGAAGCCTCATCAGGCCGACCGTATCGCCAGCTGCTACAATCAATCCTTCCCAGTTAACACCCATGGCTGTGCATAATGAAATAATTATAAATAGAAGGGGAGACTATCTTGTTGATTTGCAGAATTTCAATCTCATTTTCAAAAGGAGATTAGCTTTGTCAGTCGCAAACCAAGGCCCATACCAGCTCCATTACACAAAAGTACAGAAAAAAGGATTTTAATTAATTCCAAAGATTAGTTATGATCTCTGAGATTGCATTTGTTAATGGAGTCATGGCACTGTGGCAGCCGGCTGCTGCTCCGCTCAAGTCCCCGTCTTTGTGCTGTGTACAATTGCTTGATACAATCGTTTTTGAATAGAACGCAGAAAATATTGTCATCCATACCAAGTGGGGAAATTGACTTGATTGAAATGCCTGATTTCATTCACGGGATCTGTAAACTAATTTGAGGTCGCCGGCTCGGAAAGCACAAGTAGTCTGAATAATTTCAAAGGTGCTATGATCACATGAGGACTCGTATTTCAAAACTTCTACATCTGAAGAAGTTGAAGCTGTACCAGTTAAACGATGGTTCCCATTTCAACCAGTATGTAATAAGATTCAAAGCTTCATTGGCATAGCTGAGGCTGTTAAAGAAATTTACTCAAAATCGAAAAATAATTGATTCAATCCAATCCATGATTTCCAAAACGAATGTCCAATTTGTCACACCACAGGCCAGTCTGCTTAAGATGTAAAGTTAGAGTAGAAGCTTAAAACTCATGTATGCGCTACAGCAACATACTGTAGATCTTAGTGTTTACCTGTTTTTAACATACTAATTAGCCTATCTTCATGCGCTATATGGGTCTCAAATTGGCTTCATGTTATGAAGGATCCAGAGGAAACAAGTCATGCGTTTAATCCACTGTAAATCCATTTAACGGTTACCAGCCTCTATGTTGGCTGTTTACTATCTTAACAGCTTATCAGGGGGCTGTGTTAACGAACTGCTAAAGCAAACACATCACGGCACCAGTGCTGTTTAACAAGGCAAGTGTTGACCTTCTGCGAACACGTGCTTGGTGCCAAAGACTTTAGACGCTCAAAAAAGCAGTGCACAAATACAACACATTGGGTACTCATATGTACCAGCAGTGTTTCCCCTACATTCATTAAGCGGCGGCGCACCACAACTGCTAAATTACGTGCGCCGCTACTGAAATTTCACATGATCATTAATATCAACGCGCCACTAATGATTCTAATCGCACTGTGTGAGCACAACAACACACAACGTTATTTCCGGCTTGTTATGAGTCATCAACTAGCGCATCAAATCCTGTCGGACCCTCTTCCACTAATGTGAAGGGTAACGTTTAAGCTTATACACGGTCTGTATAGCGAGTAGCGCAGGTAACGTAACGTGAATGTAACAGCGTAGCTCCAGGAGAGGCAAGAGAGTGGGGATAACGACCCCCCTCACACACACACACACCGCCGCTGAAAAAAATTCTAGGGGAAACACTGCAGGCATAAGAAAAACACAGCAATATCGTGATTTTCCCAAATGCCATCAATAACTAAAAGATATTGACTGATAGTAAAAGCTTTTTTGTATATACACCACAAAAAAAAAGACGCTTCTTTAACAGAATCCTGCCTACCCCACCTTTAAAGGAGAAGTGGTTTGCATGATTTGCAAAGCGTCATTTTACCTTCAACTTTTTAGGAATTGGGATTTGAAGAGTGAGAGGTCTGTGGGCACTTAGCAGACAGGTGAACAAAAGCAGGTCAGGAACAACAAAGGACTCTTTGCTGTATGATTTAAATTGAATAGACAAGTCTGATAGTCAAAAAATATTTAAAAAAAGACCTTTTTCATTTCCTCATTTCAATCTTCCAGCTGTATTGTAGACAGTTTTTACCCTATTTTCCTTGCTGCTTTTGTCCACCTGATGACAATCTTCATAAAACCAACAATTGTTTTGTGTTTCTCTTTCTTGTTCATTTCCCTATGAAGATCCACGCCACTATTACATCCTCGTCTCTCTCCCGGCGCCATTGTGGCTGTCCTGAATTCATCAATTCAGCCGCCCTCCACACAAACCCGTGCAAAGCCTTTGTTGTACAGCACATCCGCCGCTTTGTTGAGGGGAAATGTCCGGTGACTATTGTGATGAAAGGCATTTGATTTTTTTACAGCAGCTTTTATGTAAAATGGCAGGAAGGTACAAGCCACGTCCATGTACCGAACAAACACTGGACGGGAAAAAATCATGTCAAAGGACAAATCCCCTGGAGCTTTGACAGTTTGATAGGTGTTTTTATCAGTGAGCTGTGATATGTTCGCAATTATTCATCAGAACTGCCGCCAGTGTGCTCATTTAAACAGGCTTCACAGCTGTCAAATTGCAAAGTTTGATTAACAACTGTCCAACAAAATTGAGGTTTTCCCTCGTGTGCTGTTAGACAAACTTAGAGCAGTTTGGAAGGCAAACGCTGTCTCCAAATTAGAAACAAATGAGCATTAATGAATGCAAAATCCTTGTTGAGATTCCGGAGGCATGTTTTCACTTTGAGAAACAAACAAATGTACACCCGCAGTTCGATGGATCACATGTCTGAAGAACGCAGGACAAGGATGTGAGAGCGAACAGATGAGTCTTGGAGCTTGTGTGTCCCTGCATGCCTCCCTCCGAGGGAGCTTCAGAGTGCTTTATCTGTCATCTTAAGGACAGAAACAAAGGCTGCACAGACTGCAAACAACAGTCACAGTCAGGACGCTCAAACACGGACATGAGCAGACGGTGTGTGTTCAGGGGTTTGGGGATGTTACCACCCTTTATTGTTTTAGAGTTTCCAGCGGATGTGAAACTGTCGCAGAAGATAGGCGGACACGTCATTCAAATTTGAGTTGTGAAGTCATGCCATCGACTATCTCCTGCGCCTGGATCCTAATTCTATTCAAGCTACACCTCACTATATTTTAGAAGTACCTCTAACAGTTGGGTTGAAGGTTACGAACGTAATTTGCTAATCCAGAACGGTGATCTGCATTTTAATTATAGACTGAGAATGGATGCTGTCTGCCACCTCGAGAGCAGCACCCTCTGGTGACGGGCTGCAGTATAGGTCATAGGTCCTTACACACCAGGGCCGACGCGAATATAGAACGCAAAATATGAAATATTTAGAGGTCAATTTTGACGGGCCTGACTATACACGTCAAGCCCGATGCAATTTTGCGATTTTCCAGGGGGTAAAAGTCCCGCCTCCTTCGCCTCTGATTTGCTAGAAAAGCTGGAAACATCATCTCACGCTCAAGCCAAACGGTCAGCACTTATGGCCAATCAGAGGCGATAAGATAAACACATGAAACTATGGTAACAACCGTTAGCTTACGTGAGCACAGATGAAACCTAAAACAAAGACGTTTAGCAAACTGTTAAAGCACACAAAACATCGTCGTATAAGAGATCCGACACTATGTTGTCCTTCAGGTCGTTATCTTCGTAATGTTTGTGTTTATCAAAAAGAGATCTGTTCTACACGTAAACAATAAGCCGGTCAGCCATGTTGGATATATAGGTGAATCTGACGTTGCAACGACACAAAATCTTATTTGTCAGAAGTGGACACACAGTATGCGAAACTTTGGAAAAAATCGACCATGATCTGACAAAACAAATGCTGCAATATCACAGGATGGGAAAACGTCGCTGATATGACTGCTACAAAAAATACTGACATCCAAAATAATCGCACGACAAAAACAGTCCTCTTTTTTCTGTACAGCTCAATTTTTAAAAGTTATTCGGGGATTCATGTTTTCTATGATTGACACTTGATACATCTGTTTGAGGCAAGCGTCATCTCGGCAACTCTCCTGCCGATTGCGTACAACGCTACTGCGCAATGTTGGTTTCAGGAAGTGGAAAAAATATGAAGAATTACCAAGTGCTTTTCGGCTTAAAATCCTTACAGTGGCGGAAGGCGGAACCAAGTTGTCCATAGTCACTGACCCATGATGCAAACCCTTATTTGTCACTGACCAGATATTGATACGTTTAAGTGTTTGTCTTTTAAGAAATTGTGCTTTCCAGCTTTTATACAAGTGAGAGGTTTGATTGTTATTGACCAAGAAATTTTTCAACAAAGCCGTTGTCCAATATCCTTTTTAGGGCCCGAGCGTAGCTGCTAAGCAGCTGCGAGAGCCCTCTTGTTCCTGATGGATTCTTCTTTTGTTATTATTAGGGCCCGAGCCAGCTGCAGAGCAGCCGGGCGTAGAGCCCTATTATTCCTGATGAGTTTTTCTTTCTTCTTTCTTTCTTTAGGGCCCGAGCGTAGCTGCTAAGCAGCTGCGAGAGCCCTATTATTCCTGATGGATTCTTCTTTCTTTAGGGCCCGAGCGTAGCTGCTAAGCAGCTGCGAGAGCCCTCTTGTTCCTGATGGATTCTTCTTTTTAGGGCCCGAGCGTAGCTGCTAAGCAGCTGCGAGAGCCCTCTTGTTCCTGATGGATTCTTCTTTCGTTATTTTTCCTCCGCTTTAAACTGGAAAATGGCCCACTTCCCACTGGTGAAAACTCATGAAATTTGGCAGGAAGACCGGGCCTGGTGAAAAATTCGATATTCTGAAGTCGCCCAAACAAAAAAATGAAAAATGGCTCCATAGCGCCCCCTATGGTGAAAATTCACCTAACGCCTGTACGCTTTGTCAAAATGACACAAAATTTGACACACATGTGTATCTCAATAAGACCTACAAAAAAGTCAGTGCGGGCGTATCTGTCAAATGTACCGTTAAAGGGCTATTTCGCATTTTTTGCCGATCCGCACACATTGGAATTTCGCTAACTCCTCCGAAGGCTTTCGTTCCACCGGCACCAAATTTGCTCAGGCCAATCTACACCCCATGGCCATTAAAAGTTGTACAAATCATGACGCTGCACCCCACGGTTTACGTTCTAGGGGGCGCCAAAGATAACCCAAAAATCCACATTCTTAAAAGTCTTATAACTTTTTATTTTTGTCCTCACTGGCCTCCAAGTTTTCTAGGATGATGCAATGTCCAGCCATCAACACATTTGTGAAGGAATTTTTACTCCCCAAAAGAGCGCCCCCCCATGGCAGGTGAAAAAAGTCAATTTTTTCTTGTCCCCTTACATGAAAATACACATTGTTGAGTGTCACGCCTGAACGCTTTGTCATATTGACACAAAAATTGACAATCATGTGTATCTCAATTAGATCTACGAAAAAGTCAATGCGCGCGTATCTGTATAATGTACGGTTAAAGGGCTATTTCGCATTTTTTGCCGATTCGCACACATTGGAATGTGGCTATCTCCTCCTAAGGCTTTCGTCCCACCGATACCAAATTTGCTCAGGGCAATCTACACCCCATGCCCATTCAAAGTTGTAAAAATCATGACGCTGCACCCCACGGTTTACATTCTAGGGGGCGCCAAAGATGACCCAAAAATCCACATTCTTAAAAGTCATTTTGGCCACTGCAGGAGTACAGAGTACTGCAGTTCTAGGGGGCGCCAAAGATGACCCAAAAATCCACATTCTTAAAAGTCTTTTTGGCCACTGCAGGAGTACAGAGTACTGCAGGATACACACACATACACACACACACACACACACACACACACACACACACACACACACACACACACACACACACACACACACACACACTCAGAGTCTGTTTTTTAGCACCTGCAAAAACATGCTGTTTACATATTTGACAAGAATGCAGAGGCTTCCTTTTGCCCCTGAAAAAAATCAGATTTCAAACACAACTTGACTGTTCATTTCTCCAAAAGACAACCATGAAGCTCCATCCAAACCTGAAGCAGATAGTTGGTGCATGTGTACAGTAACCTGAGGGGAGTGAGGTGACTATTTCTGAGGAGAACATGAGCAGTGAAGATTCACCTTGGAGCTAGAACAGGGACGTGCACATGATTATACAGGGGCAGGGGCTCAAGTTTTTTCCAGTCATTTATACAATATGGAAATTAATGTGAAATTAAAAAACAAAGTATTAATAGAAAGGTAATGACTGTCCTGTGTAGATGACAGTGATATCCAATAGGCTAGGCACTCACGAGGCTGGCTGTGGCAAGTGTAAGTGAAAGCAACACGCACTGGCAGGAAGAACAGCAAACGCCGATGAAGGAAAAGGGTCTTTGCAGTGATGGGCGTTACCAGAGCGGGCGATGGCCAGAGGACACGAATGGGACGGGGAGGCAGCGCGTTGGGGGGAGGCAGCGCGTTGGGGGGGGGGGGGGGGGGGGGGGCGGCGCGACACGGCTCGGGCCCGCCAGTGCCCCAACGGGGTCCTAGTGTTATTATTATTATTAGGGCCCGAGCGTAGCTGCTAAGCAGCTGCGAGAGCCCTCTTGTTCCTGATGGATTCTTCTTTCGTTATTTTTCCTCCGCTTTAAACTGGAAAATGGCCCACTTCCCACTGGCGAAAACTCAGGAAATTTGGCAGGACGACCGGGCCTGGTGAAAAATTTGATATTCTGAAGTCGCCCAAACAAAAAAATGAAAAATGGCTCCATAGCGCCCCCTATGGTGAAAACTCACCTGACGCCTGTACGCTTTGTCAAAATGACACAAAATTTGACACACATGTGTATCTCAATAAGATCTACAAAAAAGTCAGTGCGGGCGTATCTGTCAAATGTACGGTTAAAGGGCTATTTCGCATTTTTTGCCGATCCGCACACATTAGAATTTCGCTAACTCCTCCGAAGGCTTTCGTTCCACCGGCACCAAATTTGCTCAGGCCAATCTACACCCCATGGCCATTAAAAGTTGTACAAATCATGATGCTGCACCCCACGGTTTACGTTCTAGGGGGCGCCAAAAATAACCCAAAAATCCACATTCTTAAAAGTCTTATAACTTTTTATTTTTGTCCTCACTGGCCTCCAAGTTTTCTAGGATGATGCAATGTCCAGCCATCAACACATTTGTGAAGGAATTTTTACTCGCCAAAAGAGCGCCCCCCCATGGCAGGAGAAAAAAGTCCATTTTTTCTAGTCCCCTAAGGCGAAAATACACATTGTTGAATGTCACGCCTGTACGCTTTGTCAAATTGACACACACATGTATCTCAATAAGATCTACAAAAAAGTCAGTGCGGGCGTATCTGTCAAATGTACGGTTAAAGGGTTATTTCGCATTTTTTGCCGATCCGCACACATTGAAATTTCGCTAACTCCTCCGAAGGCTTTCGTTCCACCGGCACCACATTTGCTCAGGCCAATCTACACCCCATGGCCATCGAAAGTTGTACAAATCATGACGCTGCACCCCACGGTTTAGGTTCTAGGGGGCGCCAAAGATAACCAAAAAATCCACATTCTTAAAAGTCTTATAACTTTTTATTTTTTTCCTCACTGGCCTCCAAGCTCTCTAGGATGATGCAATGTCCAGCCATCAACATATTTGTGAAGGAATTTTTACTCCCCAAAAGAGCGCCCCCACATGGCAGGAGAAAAAAGTCCATTTTTTCTTGTCCCCTAAGGTGAAAATACACATTGTTGACTGTCACGCCTGTACGCTTTGTCATATTGACACAAAAATTGACACACACATGTATCTCAATAAGATCTACGAAAAAGTCAATGGGCACGTATCTGTAAAATGTACGGTTAAAGGGCTATTTTGCATTTTTTGCTGATTCGCACACATTGGTATGTGGCTAACTCGTCCTACAGCTTTCGTCCCACTGACACCAAATTTGCTCAGGCCAATCTACACCCCATGGCCATTCAAAGTTGTAAAAATCATGACGCTGCACCCCACGGTTTACGTTCTAGGGGGCGCCAAAGATGACCCAAATATCCATATAGAGCGCCCCCCCATCGCAGGAGAAAAGAGTCCATTTTTTCTTGTCCCCTAAGGTGAAAAAACACATTGTTGACTGTCACGCCTATACGCTTTGTCAAAATCACACAAAATTTGACACACACGTGTATCTCAATAAGATCTACGAAAAAGTCGATGGGCACATATCTGTAAAATGTACGGTTAAAGGGCTATTTCGCATTTTTTGCCGATTCGCACACATTGGAATGTGGCTAACTCCTCCTAAGGCTTTCGTCCCACCGACACCAAATTTGCTCAAGCCGATCTACATCCCATGGCCATTCAAAGTTGTAGAAATCATGACGCTGCTCCCCACGGTTTACGTTCTAGGGGGCGCCAAAGATGACCCAAATATCCACATTCTTAAAAGAATCCACATCGCCCCCCCCCCCCCCCGCCCCCAAGGCAGGAGAAAAAGTCAAGTTAACCCTGCCCATCGGTCAATGGCTCAATCGCATCGCTCTCCCAGCAACACCGTAAGGAGGAGCAACTTGCCATTTGGATATATCCTAGCTGTGTTTGTGCCCTCACTCATGGTCCAGACTTTTTTCAAATAGGACATGTAGTTTGTCTGCAGCGACCGTTTTGGTAGAAACTGCGCCTCCCATTCATTATAATGGGAAATGACCACAGACAACTGCGCACACCATCTTTGGACCTTGAGTGTGACGCGATTGGGAGGGGGAGGCGGTCGCGCTGGGGGCGGCGCGACGCGGCTCGGGCCCGACAGTGCCCCACCGGGGCCCTAGTTATTATTTTTCCTCCGCTTTAAACTGGAAAATGGCCCACTTCCCACTGGCGAAAACTCATGAAATTTGGCAGGACGACCGGGCCTGGTGAAAAATTCGATATTCTGAAGTCGCCCAAACAATAAAATGCAAAATGGCTCCATAGCGCCCCCTAAGGTGAAAATTCACACTATTGACTGTCACATCTGTACGTTTTGTCATATTGACACAAAAATTGACACACATATGTATCTCAATAAGATCTACAAAAAAGTCAGTGCGGGCGTATCTGTCAAATGTACGGTTAAAGGGTTATTTCGCATTTTTTGCCGATCCGCACACATTGGAATTTCGCTAACTCCTCCGAAGGCTTTCGTTCCACCGGCACCACATTTGCTCAGGCCAATCTACACCCCATGGCCATTCAAAGTTGTACAAATCATGACGCTGCACCCCACGGTTTAGGTTCTAGGGGGCGCCAAAGATAACCCAAAAATCCACATTCTTAAAAGTCTTATAACTTTTTATTTTTGTCCTCACTGCCCTCCAAGTTTTCTAGGATGATGCAATGTCCAGCCATCAACACATTTGTGAAGGAATTTTTACTCCCCAAAAGAGCGCCCCCCCATGGCAGGAGAAAAAAGTCCATTTTTTCTTGTCCCCTAAGGTGAAAATACACATTGTTGAGTGTCACGCCTGAACGCTTTGTCATATTGACACAAAAATTGACAATCATGTGTATCTCAATTAGATCTACGAAAAAGTCAAAGAGCGCGTATCTGTATAATGTACGGTTAAAGGGCTATTTCGCATTTTTTGCCGATTCGCACACATTGGAATGTGGCTATCTCCTCCTAAGGCTTTCGTCCCACTGATACCAAATTTGCTCAGGGCAATCTACACCCCATGCCCATTCAAAGTTGTAAAAATCATGACGCTGCACCCCACGGTTTACGTTCTAGGGGGCGCCAAAGATGACCCAAAAATCCACATTCTTAAAAGTCATTTTGGCCACTGCAGGAGTACAGAGTACTGCAGTTCTAGGGGGCGCCAAAGATGACCCAAAAATCCACATTCTTAAAAGTCATTTTGGCCACTGCAGGAGTACAGAGTACTGCAGTTCTAGGGGGCGCCAAAGATGACCCAAAAATCCACATTCTTTAAAAGTCTTTTTGGCCACTGCAGGAGTACAGAGTACTGCAGGATACACACACATATACACACACGCCAACACACACACACACACACACTCAGAGTCTGTTTTTTAGCACCTGCAAAAACATGCTGTTTACATATTTGACAAGAATGCAGAGGCTTCCTTTTGCCCCTGATAAAAATCAAATTTCAAACACAACTTGACTGTTCATTTCTCCAAAAGACAACCATGAAGCTCCATCCAAACCTGAAGCAGATAGTTGGTGCATGTGTACAGTAACCTGAGGGGAGTGAGGTGACTATTTCTGAGGAGAACATGAGCAGTGAAGATTCACCTTGGAGCTAGAACAGGGACGTGCACATGATTATACAGGGGCAGGGGCTCAAGTTTTTTCCAGTCATTTATACAATATGGAAATTAATGTGAAATTAAAAAACAAAGTATTAATAGAAAGGTTATGACTGTCCTGTGTAGATGACAGTGATATCCAATAGGCTAGGCACTCACGAGGCTGGCTGTGGCAAGTGTAAGTGAAAGCAACACGCACTGGCAGGAAGAACAGCAAACGCCGATGAAGGAAAGGGTCTTTGCAGTGATGGGCGTTACCAGAGAGGACGATGGCCAGAGGACGCGAATGGGACGGGGAGGCAGCGCGTTGGGGGGGGCAGCGCGACACGGCTCGGGCCCGCCAGTGCCCCAACGGGGCCCTAGTCTTCTTCTTATTATTTTTCTGCCCCTTTGAACTGGAAAATGGCCCACTTCCCACTGGTGAAAAGTCATGAAATTTGGCAGGACGACCGGGCCTGGTGAAAAATTCGATATTCTGAAGTCGCCCAAAAAATCAAATGCAAAATGGCTCCATAGCGCCCCCTAAGGTGAAAAATTCACATGATTGAGTGTCACGCCTGTACGCTTTGTCAAAATGACACAAAATTTGACACACACGTGTATCTCAATAAGATCTACAAAAAAGTCAGTGCGGGCGTATCTGTCAAATGTACGGTTAAAGGGCTATTTCGCATTTTTTGCCGATACGCACACATTGGAATTTCGCTAACTCCTCCGAAGGCTTTCGTTCCACCGGCACCAAATTTGCTCAGGCCAATCTACACCCCATGGCCATTAAAAGTTGTACAAATCATGACGCTGCACCCCACAGTCTACGTTCTAGGGGGCGCCAAAGATAACCCAAAAATCCACAGTCTTAAAAGTCTTATAACTTTTTATTTTTGTCCTCACTGGCCTCCAAGTTCTCTAGGATGATGCAATGTCCAGCCATCAACACATTTGTGAAGGAATTTTTACTCCCCAAAAGAGCGCCCCCCCATGGCAGGAGAAAAAAGTCCATTTTTTCTTGTCCCCTAAGGTGAAAATACACATTGTTGAGTGTCACGCCTATACACTTTGTCATATTGACCCAAAATTTGACAATCACGTGTATCTCAATAAGATCTACGAAAAAGTCAATGGGCACGTATCTGTAAAATGTACGGTTAAAGGGTTATTTCGCATTTTTTCCCGATCCGCACACATTGGAATTTCGCTAACTCCTCCTAAGGCTTTCGTTCCACCGCCACCAAATTTGCTCAGGCCAATCTACACCCCATGGCCATTAAAAGTTGTACAAATCATGACGCTGCACTCCACGGTTTAGGTTCTAGGGGGCGCCAAAGATAACCCAAAAATCCACATTCTTAATAGTCTTATAACTTTTTATTTTTGTCCTCACTGGCCTCCAAGTTTTCTAGGATGATGCAATGTCCAGCCATCAACACATTTGTAAAGGAATTTTAACTCCCGAAAAGAGCGCCCCCCCATGGCAGGAGAAAAAAGTCCATTTTTTCTTGTCCCCTAAGGTGAAAAAACACATTGTTGACTGTCACGCCTATACGCTTTGTCAAAATGACACAAAATTTGACACACACGTGTATCTCAATAAGATCTACGAAAAAGTCAGTGCGGGCGTATCTGTAAAATGTACGGTTAAAGGGCTATTTCGCATTTTTTGCCGATTCGCACACATTGGAATGTGGCTAACTCCTCCTAAGGCTTTCTTCCCACCGACACGAAATTTGCTCAAGCCGATCTACATCCCATGGCCATTCAAAGTTGTAAAAATCATGGCGCTGCACCCCATGGTTTACGTTCTAGGGGGCGCCAAAGATGACCCAAATATCCACATTCTTAAAAGAATCCACATCCCCCCCCCCAAGGCAGGAGAAAAAGTCCAGTTAACCCTGCCCATCGCTCAATGGCTCAATCGCATCGCTCTCCTGGCAACACCGTAAGGAGGAGCAACTTGCCATTTGGATATATCCTAGCTGTGTTTGTGCCCTCACTCATGGTCCAGAATTTTTTCAAATAGGACATGTAGTTTGTCTGCAGCGACCGTTTTGGTAGAAACTGCGCCTCCCATTCATTATAATGGGAAATGACCACAGACAAGTGCGCACACCATCTTTGGACCTTGAGTGTGATGCGATCGGGAGGGGGAGGCGGTCGCGCTGGGGGCGGCACAACATGGCTCGGGCCCGCCAGTGCCCCACCGGGGCCCTAGTTAGGGCCCGAGCGTAGCTGCTAAGCAGCTGCGAGAGCCCTCTTGTTCCTGCATGTTTCCTTCTTTCGTTATTATTTTTCCTCCGCTTTAAACTGGAAAATGGCCCACTTCCCACTGGCGAAAACTCAGGAAATTTGGCAGGACGACCGGGCCTGGTGAAAAATTCGATATTCTGAAGTCGCCCAAACAATAAAATGCAAAATGGCTCCATAGCGCCCCCTAAGGTGAAAATTCACATGACGGCTGTACGCTTTGTCATATTGACACAAAAATTGACACACACATGTATCTCAATAAGATCTACAAAAAAGTCCGTGCGGGCGTATCTGTCAAATGTACGGTTAATGGGTTATTTTGCATTTTTTGCAGATCTGCACACATTGGAATTTCGCTAACTCCTCTGAAGGCTTTCGTTCGACCGGCACCACATTTGCGCAGGCCAATCTACCCCCCATGGCCATTAAAAGTTGTACAAATCATGACGCTGCACCCCACGGTTTACGTTCTAGGGGGCGCCAAAGATAACCCAAAATCCACATTCTTAAAAGTCTTATAACTTTTTATTTTTGTCCTCACTGCCCTCCAAGTTTTCTAGGATGATGCAATGTCCAGCCATCAACACATTTGTGAAGGAATTTTTACTCCCCAAAAGAGCGCCCCCCCCATGGCAGGAGAAAAAAGTCAATTTTTTCTTGTCCCCTTACATGAAAATACACATTGTTGAGTGTCATGCCTGAACGCTTTGTCATATTGACACAAAAATTGACAATCACGTGTATCTCAATTAGATCTACGAAAAAGTCAAAAAGCGCGTATCTGTATAATGTACGGTTAAAGGGCTATTTCGCATTTTTTGCCGATTCGCACACATTGGAATGTGGCTATCTCCTCCTAAGGCTTTCTTCCCACCGATACCAAATTTGCTCAGGGCAATCTACACCCCATGCCCATTCAAAGTTGTAAAAATCATGACGCTGCACCCCACGGTTTACGTTCTAGGGGGCACCAAAGATGACCCAAAAATCCACATTCTTAAAAGTCATTTTGGCCACTGCAGGAGTACAGAGTACTGCAGTTCTAGGGGGCGCCAAAGATGACCCAAAAATCCACATTCTTAAAAGTCTTTTTGGCCACTGCAGGAGTACAGAGTACTGCAGGATACACACACATACACACACACACACACACACACACACACACACACACACACACACACACACACACACAGACACACACACACACTCAGAGTCTGTTTTTTAGCACCTGCAAAAACATGCTGTTTACATATTTGACAAGAATGCAGAGGCTTCCTTTTGCCCCTGAAAAAAATCAGATTTCAAACACAACTTGACTGTTCATTTCTCCAAAAGACAACCATGAAGCTCCATCCAAACCTGAAGCAGATAGTTGGTGCATGTGTACAGTAACCTGAGGGGAGTGAGGTGACTATTTCTGAGGAGAACATGAGCAGTGAAGATTCACCTTGGAGCTAGAACAGGGACGTGCACATGATTATACAGGGGCAGGGGCTCAAGTTTTTTCCAGTCATTTATACAATATGGAAATTAATGTGAAATTAAAACACAAATATGTGTGATGAACTGTTTTTAAAACTTAAACTTCAAATAAAAATTGTAAACTTCAAAACATATGCAAATTTTTAACAAAGAACATAGTAATTTACCTCTATTTACATCAAAATGCAGGCAATGGCCCAGGCGTTCTTTGTAAAATTATTTACAAAACACTGTATAGTCTCACAAATGTCACTTTTTATTTATGCCACTACAAAAAAACATGATGTAAATGATGCATGATGTAAAACATGATGTAAAAAACTTGTGTAGATCCTCCTCTATGTCAGTCCATGTGTAATTTTTCCATAATTCTTTGTTTTTTGCAGCATTTTTGTTAGTGTAACTGCAGATTGTGCTGACAGTCTATGGCAAAAAAAACAAAAACTGAAAATGCCTCAACATGAACCCCTGGTGGTCTCTGAGGGTGAAACCTGCTAACTGCTGCAGCTCTGTCAGCTTCAGTCTCCCATGCAGAGCTCGGAGCGCATGTGTGGCTCTGCACCCTTAGCAGCGTTGCTAACTCCTCAGTAAGGAAAGCCTGCTTCATGTCAGAGTCTCTAAACTCCAGAAGAAGTCGATAAAAGTCCCTTTCTTTCTAAAAAAAAGTCGTTAGGGGGTCTGAAAAGTAATTGAATCTAACAACAAAGTCGCTAGGTTTGCAACTACGTGTCCCAGACTGCATCCCTGCTGAGAGTCCCTCCCTCCCTTCTCATGTTGCAGGAAGAACGTAAGCGCCCGCCCCTTGTCAATCAGTCACCATATAATTTTGGATTGGTTGTTGTGGTGAAGTTTTCCACCAATAGGAGAGATGTTGTGGTGTGTTTTTTTTTCTTTTGGCAAGCCTTTTCCGCCTGTAAGACCTGTCGCTAATGTGTGCATGCTATGTTTTCCTGTCTCATACAGCGCGATCGAGCGCCGAACGTGATCAAAATAAGCAGAAAAAAAGTATCGCGGACATAATTTATCATAACTCTGGTTTTATTTGGCCTATCAACACAATTTAAAAACTGGTATATAGGTTGAGGTCCTCACTTTTGAGATAAGTTGAAACGGAGAGTTAACGAGGCTCCGTCTTGCAGCTACATCCGGTTAAATATGTCATGTGACTTGAACGCTGGGGAGCGTCAATCGAATCGAATCAAACCTAACTCTCAGATGAATCTTCAAAATTCACCTCAGAAATATGCTTATTATTCTTCTCAGAGTACTGCAGGATACACACACACACACACACAGACACACACACACACGCACACACACACACACACACACACACTCAGAGTCTGTTTTTTAGCACCTGCAAAAACATGCTATTTACATATTTGACAAGAATGCAGAGGCTTCCTTTTGCCCCTGAAAAAAATCAAATTTCAAACACAACTTGACTGGTCATTTCTCCAAAAGACAACCATGAAGCTCCATCCAAACCTGAAGCAGGCAGTTGGTGCATGTGTACAGTAACCTGAGGGGAGTGAGGTGACTGCTTCTGAGGAGAACATGAGCAGTGAAGATTCACCTTGGAGCTAGAACAGGGACGTGCACATGATAATACAGGGGCAGGGGCTCAAGTTTTTTCCAGTCGTTTATACAATATGGAAATTAATGTGAAATTAAAAAACAAAGTATGACTGTCCTGTGTAGGTGACAGTGATATTCAATAGGCTAGGCACTCACGAGGCTGGCTGTGGCAAGTGTAAGTGAAAGCAACACGCACTGGCAGGAAGAACAGCAAACGCCGATGAAGGAAAAGGGTCTTTGCAGTGATGGGCGTTACCAGAGAGGGCGATGGCCAGAGGACACGAATGGGACGGGGAGGCAGCGCGTTGGGGGGGGGGGGGGTGCGACACGGCTCGGGCCCGCCAGTGCCCCAACGGGGCCCTAGTTCTTTCTTTCTTTCTTCTTATTTTTCCTCCCCTTTGAAGGGAAAAATGGCCCACTTCCCACTGGCGAAAACTCATGAAATTTGGCAGGACGACCGGGCCTGGTGAAAAATTCGAAATTCTGAAGTCGCCCAAACAATAAAATGCAAAATGGCTCCATAGCGCCCCCTAAGGTGAAAATTCACACTATTGACTGTCACGCCTGTACGCTTTGTCATATTGACACAAAAATTGACACACACATGTATCTCAATAAGATCTACAAAAAAGTCAGCGCGGGCGTATCTGTCAAATGTACGGTTAAAGGGTTATTTCGCATTTTTTGCCGATCCGCACACATTGGAATTTCGCTAACTCCTCCGAAGGCTTTCGTTCCACCGGCACCACATTTGCTCAGGCCAATCTACACCCCATGGCCATTAAAAGTTGTACAAATCATGCCGCTGCACCCCACGGTTTAGGTTCTAGGGGGCGCCAAAGATAACCCAAAAATCCACAGTCTTAAAAGTCTTATAACTTTTAATTTTTGTCCTCACTGGCCTCCAAGTTCTCTAGGATGATGCAATGTCCAGCCATCAACACATTTGTGAAGGAATTTTTACTCGCCAAAAGAGCGCCCCCCCATGGCAGGAGAAAAAAGTCAATTTTTTCTTGTCCCCTAAGGCGAAAATACACATTGTTGAGTGTCACGCCTATACGCTTTGTCATATTGACACAAAATTTGACAATCACGTGTATCTCAATAAGATCTACGAAAAAGTTAATGCGCGCGTATCTGTAAAATGTACGTTTAAAGGGCTATTTCGCATTTTTTGCCGATTCGCACACATTGGAATGTGGCTAACTCCTCCTAAGGCTTTCGTTCCACTGACACCAAATTTGCTCAGGCCAATCTACACCCCATGGCCATTCAAAGTTGTAAAAATCATGACGCTGCACCCCACGGTTTACGTTCTAGGGGGCGCCAAAGAGGACCCAAATATCCACATATTTAAAAGTCTTATAACTTTTTATTTTTGTCCTCACTGGCCTCCAAGTTTTCTAGGATGATGCAATGTCCAGCCATCAACACATTTGTGAAGGAATTTTTTCTCCCCAAAAGAGCGCCCCCCCATGGCCGGAGAAAAAGTCAAGTTTTTCCTGCCCATCGCTCAATGGCTCAAACGCATCGCTCTCTCAGCAAAACCGAAAGGAGGAGCAACTTGCCATTTGGATATATCTTAGCTGTGTTTGTGCCCTCACTCATGGTCCAGACTTTTTTCAAAAAGGACATGGAGTTTGTCTGCAGCGAGCATTTTGGTAGAAACTGTGCCTCCCATTCATTATAATGGTAAATGACCACAGACAAGTGCGCACACCATCTTTGAACCTTGAGTGTGACGCGATCGGGAGGGGTAGGCGGTCGCGCTGGGGGCGGCGCGACACGGCTCGGGCCCGCCAGTGCCCCACCGGGGCCCTAGTTTTTTGTTGTTGTTTTTTAATGCATTTTATGAGTTTGATTGTCGAAGCTCTGTGTTTTGAATGTGGTGAAAAAGTTCAATCTGAAGGTTTTCATCCACTTAGGTTGCTGGGGTTGTAATGCCTGAGACTATAGTTTAATTTATGTTCAAAGCAACTTAGACACTGGTTTCATTGATGGCTTTCTGGCTTTATTTCGAGAGTATACTTATTGCATAATATTCATTATAGGAAAAGCATAATATTAAAATCAAGACCATAGACTTTTTGGGGCAAATGACTTTGACTGTTTGGTGGTTTTACCATTTTTCCCTTTAACTGCATAAGCAGAACTGTAGTTATGGGTTATTTTCCAGGGAGGACATCTATAAAACCATCAGCAGTAACCTCTATCACTCAATGACCCAAATAGACAGTCTGGAAAATTAAGCACCTCTGCTGTGAAATTGTGTTGCACTTTTCTCCCATTATTAAAATGAGCTTGTCCTTCATAGACCTACCAATATGAAAATATTACACTCCCCACTTTGACTGGCATCTCGCACCTTTGCCAAGTTTGCTTTAATGGCCACTATTTCTCACTCAAGCAACACTCCAATAACCCCAACAAGCCAAAAAGGCTTTCAATGTGTTATCCTGAGCAACTTTGCTCAGTGAACGGTCACCCTTCTGTCAGCCCAATTGGGAAAGGGCAAACAACAAATGGAGGTGACAGTTCAGTGACAGTGTAACTCCAAGGTGATGCTGAGGCACAGATGGATAAGGAATCCTTGTTTGGGAGGACTGCAGGCTGAGATACAAAACCGCACATAGCAGGGAGTTATGTCATACTGTGTTTGTTTGGATCTACCTCAGTTGTTTTATTGGTTTTAATTTGGTCCCTAAGGGAAAAAAACATTACCTAAAGTAAGACACCTCGATATGGGTGGGTAATACAGACTTGTATTTCTGCAGGATTTAGCAGAACAGTTTCGTTTGTTGATAACAGATATTTCTGTTTTTACATCCTGTACTTTTTAGTCTCTCTTTTGGTTGAGGGGTCATGAAATGATCTGTTTATCTGGACTTGTCAAGTCAACGTGGGTTGTGAAAAGATTTTCCAACTTATAATAAGACAAGTACATTTAGTGTGATTGGATTCTTGTGATTTGATGCTCTTGAAAGCATAAAACTTTAAAAAGGTACAGTGCGTACAGGGCTTGACACTAACTTTTTTCACAAGCAGCACATGTGCTCCTAAGTTAGAAAAGTAAGGAGCACACAAAGAACTTTAGGGGCCCAATGAAAATTAATCAAATGATGTTTGTCTTATTGGTCGACATAAGTACTATCATTTGAAATCAATTTTAGGTGAATTGGTCACAGGACATAGAAGCCATTGAAGGAAAACAGCCTTGTCTGAGAACATCACCCAGTAATTTATTGATGGTCCCTTATTTAACAACCGACGTTGACAGCGAGGGTGCGGAGTAGATTTAACCGCACTGCTCTTGCCATTCCCCATTATGAAGAGTGAGAAGACACCGGTAGATCCGCGGTGAATGTCTATCAAATGTTCAACCCGAAACTAAAACCAACTTTACCACGGTATTTACATTAAAACACATTTTTAGTCGCAAATGCGAGTTAAATGGTCGCACTGTCGAGCCCTGGTGTCGCAATGGGAACAATTAGCAACATCTTTGGGTTTTGATTCTAGTTTTAAATGCTCCCTTGCTCACCCCTCAAGTTGCTTAAGCTACAGTGACCTTTGAGGTCAAAAAGCTCCTGTTGACAGATTCCCATTTCTGATTGGTTTACCTTGAGTAAAGTGATTGTCTGAAACCTCTGCACTGCGTTCATAATGGGGTTTGTGTAGATAACTGTATCATCAGCATAGAGGCATACTTTTGCTTAAAATCCTCACCTAAGTCATTTATAAAATTAGAGAACAGAATGGGACCCAAAATAGAACCCTGGGGGACACCTTTACTTATCCTAAGAAAATCAGATTTTTTCCCCCCTTTGAATAGAGACACTGAGTTTAATCAGTGGAATAATTTCTAAACCAGTTAAAAGCCTGAAAGCTTACACCAGCAGTTTTAAGTTTAATTAGCATAAGTGGTAGGACTGTAACCGGATCTCAAACCAGACTGAAAATCACTTAAAATATCTTTCTTGTAAAAGGGATGAGAGTTTCAAAATGGGGCAATAGTTCAACCTTTCCAGGTAATTGAACACTTATATAAACAGTCCTACCAGTGATATATTTTATTTCTACCATGTCTGCTAAATGCCCCAAAACACTTCACACTGCACCTTTGAACAAGCCCTGTATATTTTGTATTTAACTGTTAAAAACTTAATACTCTGTCCCTGCATACATTGTCTCAGTCTAGACCTGTTTTTTAATATTGTGTTGCAGCTCTATTCTTGCACAATCTGTCATGGCATCAAGGATATTAATTTCAGTGCCCAAAAAACAACTCCACCTCAGACTAAATGATTATCTAAATCCACATCAAAGCAGAAAGTGACTTATCAGTAACCGGAGCACATATTGAACAACAAAAGGCCACTGCTACGGCTGACCCCGATATGATGAAGCAACCTGCTCAGCGGTGCAGCAACATTTAACAAACAATCAAAGGCTAAAGGTGCAATTTGACCCTTACCGGCACGGTTCAGGACGCACACAGCATCATAAAACACATTCAAGTGTGTGGGCAATCATGTACGTAGCTGTGGGCAGGGTAAATATTTACTCCTTCTGCATTAAATCATATGCTAAATCCATCAGCATTAGCATGACGCTCCTCCCTCCAGCCTTTGCATAAGCCCTCCTGACTGTTTTGGCTTCTTTGTCATATGCCAACAAGATGCAGAAATGTTCCTAAACTTTATAAAAAACAGCATCCTGCCGAGTGTTGGACCCCGATACCACACACGCAGACTGTTAGTCATACAAAGACGGGGGAAAGAAAGAGATAGCGAGGCTCACAGATGGCATTCAGCTGAGAATATTTCGCTCGGGGCCAATGTGTGAGACCTCTGTGCGCTTGATTCAGAGAATGTCATTTGCCTAGTTACTCAGCAGAGCACAACAGCAACAGAACATGCTGTAAAGTGTGCCTATGTGTGTGTGTGTGTGTGTGTGTGTGTGTACCTCAGCCCACCCTTGATATTTCCCTGTGTCACTCAAGAGCTTGGCACTGCAGGCAAAAGTCCTTGACCTACTATCCTCTGGCTATGATTTTCTTCTTTGCTGCTTGGAACATTTGGTTAGAAAATTTCCTCCTCATATTTGATATGCTCTGGTAGTCATATTTCCTTTCTTACACAAGCTGAATCTGATTTTTCTTCTTCTCTCAAGCAGCATGCTGTTGTTTTTTCATGAAACATCAAACAGCAGCACTTTACCATCTCATTCATTCCCCCCTAATTGACACGACGCTGCTGCTTCATTCTGCCAAAGTAATAAGCTAATGCTCTCTGGCATTGACTGTTTGCTATTGATAGTCCCAAACTGCGTGATGCACACTAGGGAAATTAATCATTCCCACTCACACAAAGGAATAAATATATTTCTTTTATTTGTTTAGCCTAGCAGTCATTAACTCAACATGTCCTTCATTTCCTGAATATTGAAATTATGCAATTCTGATTAGTGATGCCAAAAATTCATCAGAGGGGTGCCTGCACCAAATTATGTTTACATACAAGCAATATTTTACACAGCTGGTACCATTTATTCTTATTCTCATGCTGATAGAAGACGATCTTTTGTACCCACAACCATCAGACTTCTTAATTCTTCTATAAATAGTAGATGAGGTGATTCCAGGCAAAAGAATTGCCCTTAAAGGAAAAAAGGTTCTTGTATTATGTTGTATTGATAAGAGTGTATTTTAACCTTGGATCTTTCAGGATATGAACTTTAAACTGTGTTGAAATGCGAAATAACTAAATTTGGAACATGCGATTAAAGATGCGATTAATCGCGATAACTTGATATTTTGAGATTAATTGCAATCCTTTTTTATAAATTTTTATTTCATATCTTTGATTGAAAGGTTATGGCATCAGTCCTATAAAAAATAAAAATAAAATAAGCACTTTTTAAGACCTATGCCTATGTCACTTTTTACAGGCATTAACCTTTCAGTGCTGTTCATACTTTTGGAGAACATGAGGACAGTTTGAAGAAGATAATAGTGATTGTTGGTACAAATGAGTATTGATGCTGGCAGTATTGATGAAGGTGTTAAAGGCAGGCTGCTTTTAATGTTTGCTGATGGGAAGAAATGCTGCAAACTATTATAGCAATTGGGATCAAGTGTTCAATGCTTAAGTGCAACATACCTGGAAAGTCAACCTGCAAACGCTGGAAACATTAGGGTTCGAGAAACATTTCAAACCGTATTACGTCAGATAAACTCCTACCCTCCTACCTGAAATTGGATCTCTGGCAAATTAGAGTCATTAGCCTCCTCTTCAATAGCACATGTGCAGATAAAAGTGCCTATCATCTCATAACAGTCCGTCAATTTTCTGCAATCAGCTGAATGCAAGGGGAGCATTTGAAGAAGGGGTAAAATATATGACACGTATTCTTTACAATGCTCTTAATGAGTGTACAGATGAAGCCCTCTAGTCTCTTGACAATGAGTAAAAATTGGTCGAGCTCCACTTTTCCTATGCTACATGAAAGGAAGCCCTCATTAAGATAATTTTATCCCCCTTTGCTTAAGATGGAGTGATGTATTAGGATGCTCGGCTTAAAAAAGGGGCTTTCTGTGGCATTATGTCTTTAAGCATAATTTTAGCGCTGCTAAAGTACCGTGGTACATTATGTGTTCTTAGGTTGTGAAGAAAATGGCCCTCGTGTGTCACACATGTATCTCATGATGGAGATTTTTGAAACAGCTCACATCACTGACTGGCTTGGGTGAAAAAAAATCACTTAAAGGAGTGTTCACATGCCAGTTTTGGCCCTTTACACTTTCTCGCATGCTAAAGAGTAATGGTTGTGACATTTATAGCAACAATAAGGAGCTAAACCTTTTCTTAGTATGCACCCTGCATCGCAAATGTTTTCTTCCATGCGTCTCTGTGTAACAATTAAGAGTGTTAGTCTACAGCTCTTTATCGAACTTGCCTGCAGCAGTGGTCTAGCTCCTGATCGTAAGGGCAGTGGGGAAAGCTAATTGTTTCCGGTGTAGTGGCAGTTTGCACTTGTGTTTTTGTGTTTGTGTGTGTGCCTCAATGAGTGCAAGTGTGCAGTATGATCAGCAGCATGCTTCTCTGCTTGGTTCTAGAAATTGATCAGCATTCTGGCCCTAATTGGGTTTCTCGTGGTTAAATATTGGAAATCAGTCAACCTCTTTGTCCTGGCCTCTTTCCTGTTTGTGTGTGATACAAATACAGACGGTTGGAACTGTGGGTGGTGGGAGAGAAAAACCCTATTTACTCAAGACAATTGCATGAAAAAGATGCAAGTAGAAGAGGTGAGATAACCTCTGGATGGTTTACAAAGATAGCCTTGAAACTAGCTGATAATGGGAACTTAGGTTGGTAAAATCATAAAGATTATGATGTAGTTTGTTCCTCTTTTACAGATGCATCCAAAGGTCCAGTACTTGAAAATTTGGTGATACTAAAAGGAGATTCAAGGCTTAAATGTTCACCCCTAAATACCAAGGCCTTGGATGACAATAAACCCCAAATTTTTTATTCTTGTTTCCCCGCATTTTTAACGCATACATGTTGCACGCAATGGTTAATTTGCATGTTGGTGAGACAGCACTAATAAGCTGATATTGTGGCCATACAACATAACCATTGATATGTGGAGATCAGAAGTTGAAAAACAGTGCAGAAATCAGTGAGGGGTGTTAAAACACTCAAGAAGCAGAGTTAAGGGGACATCAAACGAATTGAAGAAAACAGACAAACACAAATTGCAAAATGGTACGGGTTTTAGGAGGGTTATAGATAGCAGACAGTGCCTGCTGACTATGAAAGTTACAGGGTAAAGGACCTTGCCAATAAGGATGTTATATTTAATTTAATCAGTTTTGATTAGAGCCTGATCAAACTCGCAGATTTTCGCAGATATTTTCGGAAATAAAATGCGGCGTATAAGATTTGGTTTCACTTCGAAAATGTTCCACCATCTGAAAAGTTCCCCGACTTATTCTGTAGATGGCGCAGCGACCTCATGACAATCTTCATCCACTAACTACCTCGGTCCGAGTTTGATATGTCAGTCTTCCTTTCGGCATGAAGAGCAGTACAGTATATATACAGATATATAAACATATATTTTTTATAACTTCATAAAAAAATTTTAAATTGGCCGATTAATCGATAATCAGATTTTTTTTCCCCCTGATAATCTGTATCAGCATCGGGCCCTACTGCAGACTATGAAAGTTATCGGATAAAGGACCTTGCCAATAAGGATGTTAATTTAATGTGTGTTTTGATTGCAGGCTAACTTAAGTTGAGGGCCCCCTCACCTAAAAGGCTTTCATTATTCTATATTAGAGAATAAGACTGGTGTTTTGAGCATTTTCCTCCAAAACAACAACACAGGAGTGAATACTAATAATCTGTGGCAGAGAAAATGGTTGAATGTGCATCTCCCCGTGCGCAGTGACTGTTGAGCCAGCTGAGCCCCGGTCAGTCCCAGCTCTGCCCTCCGGCCCTGTCGAGAAGCCGTAATGCATCAGCGCATATGACAAGTGTGCGGGGCGTCCTCATGCCCAGCAGGCTAGTGGCGACTTAGTGTGCAGCATGCCATGGAACAAGCAGATAGGCGCTGGGAAAGAGGCGCAGTCGACCAAAAACAGGAGCTCGGCTTCAAACTGACCCACACGGTCCACATGAATGAAAGTCAGTGTTAACAAACCAGAGGCCGCAGCGAGTGAAGCCTTTCAATCTATAGGACAAGCCTCACATAAGTGTTAGGGAGCTCTGTATCTTTCCATTGATTGCCTCTTGCAATACGAGTCAAATGAGGACAAATCTACTGTTGTCAATGGAGCACCAAACAAACCTTGAGTCTCCTGCAAAGTTGATGCAGCTGACTTTAAGCTGACAAATGAGTCCACACCAGGAAAAAAATATAAAATAAAAATTAAACTCAAAACAAGAAAGACGAGTAGTTTGTGTCTTTAAAAAAACAACATTACTTTGTGTTAAATCTGAGATTTTAAGTCTGACATTTGAAGCTTTTTACACATTCTTCCATGCAAAATATTTCCAGGAAACCACATTAAAAGGGGGGAAAAAAAGCACATTAAAGTAAACCGCTCTCACCTTTTGTTCTAGTGCCAAGCAATTAAGAAAATTCAACATTTTGTGACAAATACTGTTCGTGATCCAGTGTTTCCTTTCTCATTCTACCTTGAAAGCTTTAATCACTGTCAAGAGGTTAAAAACAATCAGAAACATACTTTTAAAGTAGTCAAAAAAATAAAGTTTTTATTATTATTATTATTATTATTATTATTAATAATAATAATAATAATAATAAAGTTTTTATTATTATTGTCGTTATTATTATTATTAATAAAATAAAGTTGTTATTATTATTAATTTTATTGTTATGTTATCATTATTATTATTATTATTATTATTAACATTATTAAAATAAAGTTGTTATGGTTATTATTTTGTTATTATTATAATTATCATTATTATTATCATCATCAAAATCATCATTATTCTTATTATTATCATTATTATTATTACTATATAAGCAAGAAAGGTTGGGTAATAATTAATTATTTGTAGATGCAAAAAACATATATACTTTATGCTTTATGTTTATTGGATTGGCTATAATTATTCTACTTAAACTATGCACATATACTTTTTTTTGTTTTACAACTCTTCAATGATGTTTTTATTTAGTAGATAGTGTTAAGACAGAGTGGTAATGACTGCTAATAATCTATTTGTTCACTGATACTCCGGCCACCCCGACTCATATCAGTACTGGGGCTGTGCCACCCCAGTTAAAAAGTCTGAGCACACCCCTGAGGAGGACAGAGGAACCAGTGGGACCAGAATTGAACCAATTAATTCTAAGTGAAAGGGAAAAAACAATATACCCAACAAAAACTATATTTATTCCTATTTTTTAATAATGAGGACCACCATGTGCAGACAGTGAACTTCCACTAGCTAGTATAAAACAGCCAGGACACAAAATACCAGCAGTCTGTGTCAAAGGAGAACTGATCATTTTAACTCTGTGAGAAATAATAGTTTCCTTTTTGTCATAATATCTTCTTTGTTTGATGCTAGCTCCATAAATTTCCAGATAAGGCCAGCCAAAGACAGAAACCTTTCAACACAGCAGGCTACCAAACAAAGGAACTAATGATTTTAAACTTCATAAAAGATAAAAAAAAGTTCCTGCTGTTGTATGACATTATCTCCCACGTATCATTTACCAGCACTCTGACTTCACTTTTTGCCTGTTAAAACTTTTGCCTCTATTGAATTTTTGCATTACATCTGTATGCGACAGAATCCAGGTCATGTCCTCTCCAGTCCTTGTCTTCAAGGACTTACAAGTACTTCAGAGGACACGAGAGTAAGTTAAAGAAAGGTTAAGTGCCTCGCAGAGTGTCGCTCTCAAACTCAGCGAGAGCTCGATGAGGACTTTTGGAAGTCTGAACAAACACCTCCATCTACATAAATAACACAGGGTTAGAACAGGTCGGTTGTATTTTCCACACATCCCTAAGGACTCTCACCTGGAGTCTTACTATACCTTCACAGAGTTGGATCTGTTTTCTATGTGGAGATGGAGGAGAGCCAACTCTTGCCTCTGCATCACTGATAACATCCTGGTGCACTGCGTTGCATGTGCCAAATTCACTGTTTAGGGTGATGCATGTTTTTAGATTATCCTACAGATTATTTCCCCTTGTAAAAACACACAAAAAAAACATCTTTCTATCCAAGGTATCTGTATAAAACACTGCAGCACATGCAACAAGTTAACACAAGTTATTCGTGTGAGGATGGATGCAGCGTTTAAATTAGAACCCACGTCATGCTCTTGTTGATTTTGAGAGAACCACTTAAGCGGGCACTTAACCTTTTCTCTGACTTACTTTTATGTTGTCTGAAAAGCATGTGAGTCCTTGAAGACAAGGACTTGAAGGAAGATAACCTTCTTTTCTTGTCCTTTGGCAGAAACAACGTCAATCAAGTAGCGCTTGGCAGTTGCACAAGTTTTCATAATTAAGGCTTCAGTGAGAAGAAGGACAATATTGGACCCGATTACACGCCTCACACATGGCTAAGCATGCAGGGTAAGGCATTAAAATGAGGTGCGGTCAGGCATACAGGTGGTGGTATTTAAAAAAAAACTGTAATTTTGCTGATAAAGCCAAAAATTCATATAGGAAAAATTGATAAGCTCTCTAAGGGCCAGACACTAACTTTTTTCACAAGGAGCACACAAAGAACTTCAGGAGCGCAATAAAAATTGATCAAATAATGTTTGTCTTATTGGTCGACATAAGTACTATTTGAAATCAATTTTAGGTCAATTGGTCACATGACATGGAATCGATTGAAAGAAAACAGCCTTTTCTGAGAACATCACCCAGTAATTTATTGATAGTCCCTTATTCAATACCCAACGTTGACAGCGAGGGTGCTGAGCAGATTTAATCGCACTGCTGTTGCTATTCCTGGTTATGGAGAGTGAGAAGACACCGGTAAATCCGCTGTGAACGTCCATCGGATATCCAACCTAAAACTAACTTCACCACAGAGCAGATTAAAGGTCCTTTCACACCGGGAGCGTTTTTTTCGTGCGATTATTTCGGACGTCAATATTTTTTTTCAAACCCGTATCCTGTCAATACAAGCGTTCACATCAGCGACGTTTTCCCGTCCTGCGATATTGCGGCATTTATTTTTTTGTATCACGGTCGAATTTTCTAAAATTCGTTTCCATTCTGACTAATCAGATTTCGTGTTGTTGCGACGTCAGATTCACCAGTATATCCAACATGGCCGACCGGCTGATTGTTTACGTGTCAGAGAACAGAGTGCTTTTTGATAAAAAACACAAATATTACAAAGATAACGACCTGAAGGACAACTTGTGGAGAGTCATAGCGTCGGATTTCTCATATGACGATGGTTTTTGTGCTTTAACAGTTTGCCAAACGTCTTTGTTTTAACTTTCATCTGTGCTAAGTAACTTTAGCTCGTAAGCTAACCTGTTCAGATACAACATACCATATGTATTTTCACTGTCTCAAACTCAATGGCGTTGCTGTTACAGCACCATTAGGTCTCGGTTGTTACCTTACGTTTATGGTCGCACTGTCGAGCCCTGTCTCCATCATGCGCACTTCATGGATGGGCACTCTCTCAAATGTATGGGGACATACATACAAACACACACACACACACACACACAGAGCTAAGGGTAATTTACTCATACAATCCTTAAACAAAACTCTCATTTGCAACCTCCCACTATGTATTGATTGATCAACAAAAATTAAATCAAGTCTTTATGTCATTACTGTCGGTCTTGTCTCATACTGCTTGCAGATAAGTTACAGCAAAGTTTTGGTCTGATCCAAGAACAGTTTTTTTCACATTTCAGGATCTTCTTTGTGCATTTGTGAATGTGGCAACATCAACTACTGAGGCGTTCTTCTGCAGTCTGTTGGTAAATCTGTGGTTATAACAGAGCATACTGGAAAAGAAACCATCAAGCTGCTGTTACATTCTTCCATTAAGAGCAGTTAAACTAAACATGCTTCCATAATCTTACAATGGAATCAAAGGTCATGTACAACATAAATTAACTCTCTTTACAGATATTAAGGCAGCGACAGCCGAGACATGTGACAGCAGCAGTGGAAACAATCTGCAATAGAGTTAACTGACATGACCCTGCTCACATTAATGTACAGAACATAAATTCATATACTATGTGCAGCGCTTAAATAAGCACTACTTGTACATATTTTATTGAATCTGTTACTGTCAATTGTTTGCTGATTAGATTGTTCTTATACCTGAAATGTATTTTTAAGCATTTACTAATCAGCATGATGAAAATGTACAAAGCATAGTAGAAGCAGACAAGAAAAAAAAAAAACGTTCATAGAATCTGATTTAATTCAAACACGATTAAATCACTGTTGTGAAAAAGCCACTTCTTGTCCCCAAGAGAAAAAAGTAATACTGCAAATATCGAAGTTTATTGTCAATTAACTGCCGAACAAAGCTAATCCTCACAAGTTTAGCTCAAACTACTTAAATATCACAAAAAAGTTGAATATTTGGACCTATGTGCTTTGGCACAGTCACGTAAGCAGCAGTGAGTGTGCTGGTTATGCTTATGTAGGTATTTTCAGCTGATTCTGAGAAAAAAACACTCCTTGTATGACCCTTTTTTTTTTTTCTTTTTATGAAAACAGAAATAACTAGATACGTTTGGCGTGACGTATGCAAATGGCCAAAATGGGCCGAAAACAGCGCAATAACTCTTTCACCATGCATCCGGGAGAAAAGTCCGTAATCAGCACGCGTAATCAAAGATCTCGTTAAGATACACGTGCCTGTAAAATTTCAAGCAGATTGGACAAAGTCCACGTTCGTGGCACTTTTATCGCATTTTTGGGGATCGCTTTAAAACAGCCATTTTCCCCGGGCCCGAACTGCCTGCAAATTTTTGTGAGTTTTCGAGGTCGTTCAGAGGGTCAAATTTGCGTAGTAAAATAATAATAATAATAATAATAATAATAATAATAACCCCTTGGGTTTCAATAGGACTTTACCACTGAGCCGTGCTCTCGGCTCGGGCTCTAAAAAAAAAAAAAAAGTTTTATGCACATATTGAAAAAATCTTCACTGTATGATTTAAAGACAGTACAAAGAGTTTTATTTGGTGAAAATAAACAACAAACTGACAAGACACCCTTTTATTGTAAATAAATAAATAAAATAAAATAAAATTTTAAAAAATTGTTTGAAAACTTCACTTTCACGCAGGGGCGCAAAAGTTGCGAAACGCTGCAACAAAGGGCATATGCCTAGATTTGCTATTGTACACCCATGAACCAAGTGTAAACAGGGTCTTTCTGCGGTTGCGACCAAATACTCCTTACTGTAGCTTTAATTGTTATTCTTTCAATAACAGTGAAGGATAAGAAAACCTGAGCTGCACAGGCTTTGGTGGCTTCATAACTTCTAATAACATGTTTACAATGTAAATCACTGTATATACTTGCTAATTAAGGAGCTTAGTATTGACAACATGTGAGTGCCCACACCAACTGGAGCAATATTTTGTTTTCATTTCCTCATTAAAACCAAGAAATACCAGGCGCTGACACTGTGTTTTGAGCTCTGCAGTTAAAAGGACCCACTACTGCTTCAAGTAATTGCTATTTCCATCCCACGCAGAACCATTTTACAGGTTCCAACTGCATATTTTAATATTCCACAGCGTAAGCCAGGTGAGCAGCCTTCAGATGAAGTGTGCACCACAGAGGAGAGTCGCTTAGATTTGCAGCAGAACACGCTAGTGTCGGCTATAGCGAGCAGATTCACGGCTCCCTCTGTTATCCGCGACTTTGTGTTTTTATTTGTAGCACCATGTAGCTGACAGATCTCGCAAAATCGTCCTAACTGTTTATCTCGCCCGTGCTGCTTGATTTATGCGGCCATAAATAAATGATTCATGCTCTGGAGTGTGCGTTGCAGTCATTACAGATTTGCTGCATCATTCCTGTCTGGGTTTAAGAAACAGCCCAGAAGCCAGACTCACCAATTTGACGACAGGCTGATCTGTTACACAATCTACCCCAGTGTTACTGCGACTATCTATCCGGCTGCATCTAGTCTCTGTGTTTCTGTTTGTATGCACATGTTTTCTCCCCCCTCCTTTTTTTTTTCCTGCGTTACATCACTCTCCCAGAGGTTGCAGTCACCTAGCACAAACACAGCTTGGTGGTCTCGTCTGTCTGCAAACTTGTACATGCAGCTGACAAGCTGTTAGTGTTCAGATATCCGTTCATCGGAAGGCAGAACACACACGCGGATTGACTCTGAGGCGCTGGGGAATTTGCACACAGACGCACAAATGCACACACTCAGGTGCTTGGACTGGGGGACTGGCAGATGTCATGTGCAAACAGTGACAGATATAGAAGTAAAGGATCTGGATGTGACTACACCATTTCTGTGGTAATCTGATCCAATTCATTACACTGTACTGGACCATAAATACATCGTAGCCAAGGTGATGATGCATCTATTTTAATATACCTGTGAATCAGACACGAGTGAACCCAAATGCAGACACCTGGCAATCAAGTGCAGAGAACTGTCCTTATTAACACCTTTTATGTATTTTTGATTCTTTTGCACATTGTGAGGTGCAAAGTGAGAAAAGGTTTGTGAAACTTTGTCAATTTCTCTTTTGATTAAATTCTTTAACAGACACAAGTGAATCAGAGAATACCTGAATCTAGATACCCAGTCATGAAATAAACTTCAATATCCGGATTTTATATGTATGAAGGAGTATTGGGGCCACATTAAAAAAAAAACAAATTAAGACTTGGAGATTAAAGTCATTACTTACAAGAATTAAGTCTTAGGAAAATCCTTTTTTACGAGAATAAAGTCGTAAAAAAATCATAACTTATGAGAATTAAGTCGTAAACAAAATCATTACTTACGAAAATAAAGTTGTAATAAAATAATCACTAACGAGGATTAAGTTCGTAATAAAATTATGATTTACAAGAATAAAGTCGTATTAAAAATATTACTTAAGAGAATAAAGTTGTAATAAAATCGTAACTATCAAGAAAAAAGTAGTAATAAAATCATTACTTATGAGAATTAAGTTTGTAATAAAATCATTATTTACGAGAATAAAGTTCGTAATAAAATCAACACTTACGAGAATAAAGTCGTAAAGTGAATGAAGTCTTAAAGCTGCTTTTGTGGAGGAGGAAATGTCTGAACTGGTCAACTGCAGAGTTATCTGTGGGTGCATCAGTGGGCCATTCAGAGGACTTTTGTGGTTTCTCAAGAAACAATACAACTGATGATCAACATTTGGGATTCAGAGGGAGTCGAGATCTGTCGAGCACCGCATCAGTCTCTGATATCGGCACAACACTGGCAGCAACCTACACCTGCAGAGGCACCAACACCTTATGGCAGATAGATTCATACGATAAACTTAAGCCATATGCTATTGCTATTGTAATAAATGGCTGCATTGAGGGATTTAGTCTCTGTACAGCCATTTCCAGCCATCCCCCCCTTAAAAACAGCAATTCCTTACAAGTCCGCCTGGTTCTTTCTGCGGAAAAGATGCATTTCTTGCACATGTCCTGATACTTATGACACTGTGATGCTGAAATGACAAAGGATTTAGTATTTCCTTGTTTGTGAAACCTAGCTATTGAAGTTCAATTCATCTAAATGCTCCACAGCGCTCATTTAAACAACGAACAACAGGTAAGAAGAGCCATGAGCTACGACTTTATTCTCGTAAGAAATGATTTTATTACAACTTTATTCTTATAAGTAATTACAATTTTTTTTTTTTTTTTTTTTTTATGTGGCCCTAATACTCCACCGTAGAAGTGTCTTCAGGATTTTGGGGAAATATTTTTGCTATGATGAGTAAAGTTTCTGTGTTTAAGTCAAAGGAAAGTTATGTGTCAGTGGATTTTATTCCAACATTAAATAACGTTCAATATTATATTTACCGAGATTTTCAGCTCTCAACCGCATCAAATTTCATTATTGATATAAAATGAGGGAAGTATTTTCAAAATGATCTTTTTGGAACATTTTGTAGTATCTCAGTGGTTTAACACAACAGGACTCTACATAAACCCAAATCCAGATCCTTGACAACAATAAACTCAGCCAGGACGGGGCCCTCAAAACCAAAATTCAGACAGTCAACCCAAAAGAGATCATATAACATTCCAAAAAGTTGAATTTATTTCTTTAATTTCTTGGAATAAATCTTTTGAGTGAATTCACTGACATACAATTTTGCAGTGTCTTTGTGAATTAACAAAATTGGATCCGAGATTAACCCAAATCCAGATGCCATTACAAGACACTTTCATTTGACATTCTTAAAAGTTTTTTTCCTTTTTAAAAGCCTGTAAGGTGAAGTGTTGTACCTGACAAGTTTCGGCTACTTTAACTTACTTTAACGCACCACTGAAGATGTCACACTACCATCACGTGACACCTCTGAGGAAGACTGCAGAGGCAAAGTAGCCGAAAGTTGTCAGGTACAACACTTCACCTTACAGGCTTTTAAAAAGGAAAAAAACTGAGATCAATATTCATACGTAAGCCAAATGAACCTCTTTAATATATTCTTAAAAGTTGACTTTGTTTCAATGCTTTCCGTAATATGTCAAGAGTAAGTTCAAAAAGTTGATCCCCAATGTTGTTCAGAAAGTTTACTGTTGTGAACAGAGGAGCCTGAACAGTAAAAAAACCCAAATCCAGACACCCAGACATGAAATATGCATCAACAGCCTGAATTCCAATTTCAGCGATTTTTGAGAGATATATTTTGGAATTTGAAAAGGTATTTTCTTCAGTGTCATAACCAAATTCTTCACAGTAGCTTTAATTTTTCACCCGTAAACAGACATAGTAGGACTCTAAAATGACCTGAATCTACAGTGAGTTTTACAGTAAAATTCTGTATATTTTCGACCTTGAGTTCCCAACTTGTGATACATTCGGCTTACATAAGAATCTCTAAAACTTCAAGCATGTCTTCCCTTACTGTAAACATGCATCATTTTACAAGATGTGTGTGGATAAGATCTCTACAAGCAAATGCAAAAAGTGTACGAGAAATTACTGTAAAATCTCCTCATTTGCACATTGCCCTAAAATTGATTGACGGTATTTTCCTGTACAGTAGCCTTAATTTCAATCTAGAAGCCTCTGTGGTTTATCTATTCTTAGACGTTAAGGATCTGTATGCGCTGAGATCTCTCTAGAATCAGACCCTTGTTGTAGGGTGTAATGCACCAAGTATAATTGTTTCCTTGCTGGACTGTATGTCGCATTAGCGGAAAGTAGCAGACAATTGGTGCAGGACCATGAAAGCAAAGCAAATGCATCATTCTCCGCGTGTTTCAGTCCGTGGCATGGCTCTCGGGGAAAGCAAGACTGGTAAACATGTTTTCACAGAGAGCTATATTGCTTTTCACAATTACACACAAACAAGGGGCTGGCCTCCTTACTCAATGACTTTGGAGGTATTTGCTGTAATTTTCTGTAATCTCTCCTGCAAGGATGTTGTCGTGAGTAAAAAGTCCTGTGGCCCAGAAAGTAGCGGGGGTAATAATGGATGTAATTAGCACAGCAGGATGACTGATACGATGCTTAAACCACACTTATATCCACTCACTATCTTTTTTCACCCCCATCTGGAACCCCTCAGAATCTGTCAAATTGCAGAAATGCTCCTCCTGGCTTCTGCCTCCACTCCTCCTCCGTCTCCATCCCTCTTTCTTTACTTCTTAAGCTCCTTCGCTTTGCTTTGTATCGGTCGGCCTTCAACCCCTTCTATACCCTCCTCTATCTCCCCACATGCAACATTTCACACATTCACTGCCCTCCATGCCTACGCTTTCTCCAGATCAACAGCACCACCCAGTGTTTTCAAAGTAAACTTGTTTTTTTTCCTTTCCTTTTTTTTTTTTTTACATAACCATTGTTGATGAGGTTTTCATTTTGAACATCTGCTCATATCTCATTTTTTTCTCCCCTCACTCATTAAGGCTGTTAGTTTTTTATTGATGTCAGCTTTGCCAGCACATTAATGATTTATATGTGTGCCCGCCATAATAAGTTTGATTAATTGAACAAGACTTCCTTGTTTGAGGTGCCTCTGGGTTGCGGTGGCGTCCATGACACTGTTTTCCTTTTTCCTAATGACAGTAAATTGGCAAAAAATAATATTGTTGATGGTAATGAGTTGTTTTGAATGTTAAGTATCACCCATCGAGTGTGTGATTAAATCGTTTTAATGAAAAAGACTTTTTTGGAGATGATGTGACATGGCACTACTTTTTAATACGTGTTAATTTGAATCTTTCAGTCTGGTTTTAATCAGAATTTTTGTTGAATTTAACGGCCCGTAACTGTGAATACTCAAGCCTTTAAAGCATGAAAATTACACCCCAATTCAAATGTGATGCTACTAGCAAAGAGAGAAATGGGAAAATGGTCAAAAATGTTCAAAAAGTTGTAAAATGCAAAAAGTAAACAAACAAAATAAAACACATTCGATTGCAACAGGTTCACAAGATAACAGACGCTGATAGAAGCTGGGTCTCGTAAAGGTTCACCACTTTGTGAGAGACTGCGTGAGCAATAGTTCAACCGTTGAAAAATGTGGATTTCATCATCTTTGGTACACTATTTCATTAAATATTTAGATTATCTGGAGAAATCTCTGCACAGAAGGGACAGTACCTAAAAATAAATATCAATCAGCTGTGTTTTTCTTGGCCTTAGGCAGCACCGCATGAGAAACAAGCCTGACACAGTAGTGGAAATCACCGCCTGGACCCAAAAAAATAATGTCCACTGGAGTGAAATGCTAAAATGTTCTGTAATCTTAAAGAATCGAAATAAGACGTTCTAATTCAAGGAAGAGAATAAATACAATTTAATATCCATATTTAATGAGGCATATAAAAAGAAAGATATTAAAAAGTTGGTCTCAAGAATATACAAAAGTATACAAGCCTCTAAAAATCATTCTACGTTATCCATTAAACAAAAATAGGAGAAGGAGTCAGGAATACAAATATCAGAAGAGACCTGGATAGAAATATGTGAGACACAAGCGACCAAGTCTACTGCCGGAGACAATGTGGAACCCATTGGACGAATCACTTTCATGTCTTTTGGGCCTGTCCGAAAATCTGTTTTATATCTCGGTAAAATCCCAGGAAACAGTCCAACATAAGGACAGGTACCTGTTGAAGATTCTTTTGGCAAGTGGTAGGAAAGCCATAACAAGAAGGTGGTTGCAACCAGATTCTCCGACATTGAACCAATAGCACGGGATTGTCCAAGAAATTCACTGTATGGAGAGACTTACTTTTGTTTCAAGACTTCAGTTGAAGAACTAGGATTTATAGCGTGTGTGTATATGTATTTATGTTTAAAAGAATATTTCCATTTCAACTGTATCACCCATGATGACCTCATGTTTTTTTGGAAGTCATGGATGCAATGCCCTGAAATTTTTAAGAGGGATTACTTGACTTCAGAGCAGTTTAAGCAATCCGTCCTGGTTGAATGTGCCAGGGACACATCCAACAGGAGGCATCCAGGGTGGCATCCATACCCAAAGACAAAACCACCTCAACTGACTCTTTTTGATATGGGGACACAGCAGCTCTACTCTTAGATCCTTTCAGATTGACTGGATAGTATGGATATGCACAAATGCCCATTCCTCATGACCCATGGCACAGGTAGCTTCCACAGATCGTAATAGGTTATGGAGATGGACTAAATTCTGCCTGTAGTAAACATTGTGGCTATGGAGTAGAAAGGTCTTGGTACTTATCTGGCTTACTTGCAATCCCAACTTGTTACCCCTTAAAACATTTGCCACTATTCGAGCATAAAAGCATTTCAGGAGTTTTGCATTTTCAACTTACTTGCACAATTTCAACCTTGATGTCTTTTTATGTCCGTTTTACTTAAAACGCATCTGTTGTCCAAGCGTCACCAAACAGGATTAGATCCCTTCAGCATGGTTCTCCTTTCCCAGCTTCACAGTCCTCACATTCAGCCGGAGATTTGTTGCCGTTGGCACAGAGCCGCAGATTTATAGCATTTGTGAAAAGCTGCTGATTGTTAATTAAAATCCCTTCCTGTCTCTTGAGCTTTTTGTTCGCCTTATGCAAAAGGCGAATGTGTTGTTTTTGTATCACACTCAAAAGCTGAATATGGTTTGATAAGAACTTTTTTTTTTCAGTGTACGAAGCAAGAGGTTATCACAGAGGATTCAGAAAAGTTAGACACGTTAACAACAATGTTTCCCAAAGAAATCCATTTATCATAGAGTAAACCGAGTGAATTTCCTCCTGGGCTTTTTGCTCAGCCATGTGAGATCATTTTATGTCCGAATGGGATGAGTTTGTTTAAATATATACATTAACCTTTGGTGAGGGGTAAGAGCAACGTAAATCATCCATTGAGATCCATTAAGAATTTACAATGGCAGTCTTAACGGTACTACCAGATTAATAATAGCCATCGTAATTCGAGAGCATCTCATTTTAAATAAAGCCTGATTATATATGGAATAATTGCTAGAACGGCAACCTATAGCAACCCTTCATTATGCTTCCCATATGAAACAATCAGCCATGAAAAGCCGTCCATAGAACTGTCATAAATAGACATGAAGTACATTTACATTGCATTATCTGTATAATGAAGTTCTTAATGCTTCCAAGGATTTGTTAATTATCCGATTCAAGCTGCGTTGAGTATATTTAGCTAATTATTTAGTAGGATATATGATAATAATTCCAGCCAGATGCAATCATTTTACTGCTTGATGAATAAGCTGGCTCTGCATGAGTATGTTTCTCACAGATTTGGCCCCATTTTCTTAAATATTTCGCTCAGGTTGGGGGACCTTGAACTTCACTATGATTTTGTCCTGCTGTTTAATTTTAAATAATTGTAAAAAAAAAAAAAAAAAAAGTCTGTTGGATATTTTTTGAACAATCCAGCTCCTCTTGATGGATAACTAACAGAAAAATAACCTTAAAAAGACCATAATTTCAGATAAAACACTTTTTAGCATCCATTAGCTATGTTAGCCAAATTTATGGGCTTACTTTGTCGTTTCAAGATACAAAAGTTTGGTTTTCTCCTTTATTTGATGGCAAAACTTACCTTAAAAGTAATCATCACAAAGAATCATGATAAAGGTGCAGTTATAGTAAAAATCTAAGATAATAATGGGTGCTCTGGTATGCAGTATTTCATACAAATTGTAGCTAATCGCGTTAAAAAATATTAAGCCGACCCTTAAAGGAAAAGTCGACCCCCTGCACCCTCACACTGTATCACAACGTACTGGACGTAACGTTAGCCTCCAGTAGCTAATGTTAACTAAATTTAAATCTTACTTTGTAGTTTCAAGGTACAAGAGTTTTATTTGATGGCAAAACTCGCTTATATTTCTGCTGCTTCCTCTTGACCGACAGAAGGCCCTTCCTATTTTCAACGTACTCATTACAAAGTCTCCTGATAAATGTGCAGTTAAAGTAAAAACCAAAGATAATAATAGCTGCTCTTCGTACACAAACTGTAGCTTATTGCATTCAAAAAACATTGAGCAAACCCTTAAAGGAAAAGTCGACCCCCTGCACTAGGGCCCGACCGATTTATCGGCGAGCCGATTAAATCAGCCAGTTTTAGCCCGTTTGAGACTTTTGGTAATCTGCCAAAACTTGCAGATTTTCGCCGATATTTTCAGAAATAAAATGCGGAGAATAAGGTTCGGTTTCACTTCAATAATGTTCTTGCATTTGAGAAGATTCCCCAACTTATCCTGTAGATGGCGCAGCGACCTCACGACAATCTTCGTCCACTATAACTACCTCACAGCACAGCAGAGTGACGGATCTGAAGCAGGCAGCTCAGGGACGCACGGAGGAGAGCGGTCTGCCTCAACGGTAAATAAACCAGTTTGTGAAATCCACAATAAGTCAACAAGTTTCAGTTCAACCCACTTCACGATGTTCCCCGCTGTGCTGGTCTAGGTCACGCCAAGTTAACGGTGAAACACCATGTAATATGCAAGCTAAAGTTAGAGTTAGCCATCTGCTATCAGCCTTGCTACACCGTTAGCCGTGCCAGTAACGGTAGAATAAACAACAGTACACATTGCGTGATCCAGCTTCTTCTCTTACTAAGGCAGCTGCATGTCTCCAGATGAGACCGGACTGGAAATATGTAACGTGAGTCGAGACGCGGAGGCAACGATCAAGGAAGAACTCTAATTAATTTTACGCCGGAATATCCCCTTAAATATTTTTTATAACTTCATTATTTTTATTTTTTTTTTATTTGGCCTATTAATCGGTAATCAGATTTTTTTCCCCCACTGGTAACCGGTATTGGCATCGGCCCCTAAAAATCCATATCGATCGAGCCCTACACTGTATTGGAGATAACATTAGCCTCTTTTAGATAATGTTAGCCAAAAATAACATCTTACTTTGTAGTTTCAATATACAAGAGATTTATTTGATGGAAAAAAATCACCAAAATTTCTTCTGCTTCCTCTCGACCATCATGAGGCTTCCTTATTTGAAAAGTAATCATCACAAAGCCTCATGATAAATGTGCAATTATAGTAAAAATCAAACACAATAACAGCTGCCCTGGTATGCAGTATTGTACACAAACTGTAGCTTATTGCGTTAAAAAACATTTAGCCGACCCTTAAAGGAAAAGTCGACCCCCTGCACCCTCACACTGTAATACACTGTATCCATCATCAGCCACCGGCCCCTGGAGCTGTTTCATGATGAGTTGTTGTAATACGTTTTGTGCCGTGCATTTTCTCCCAACCTGCATCATCTGCTTGTAATTGCAGTTTGTGATTTCACACGTTTCCCTCCGGACTTATTGCACAACCCCCCGAGAGAGAAAACAGAGAGTAAACAGTTAAGTGTCTTCATCGTAGACATCACAACACAAGGTGCCTCGCGGCTGCAGATTTGTATGCATGATGACCTGTCGGGCATGTTCTCATATTGACTAGACATCAGAATTGTCATGAACTCGGCTGTGATGGAGGAGATTTTATCAGCAGAGACTGAAAAGAGAGGGTGGAAGGATGCACTCTGAATTAGCTATTTATGAGAATGTCCTTTCCCTCCTATGATATTTAGTGCCTCTTAACGGAGCAGTAAATAAGAGTAACCCGAGTTGACTGAGGCGCCTAAAAAATAGCTGTAAATCCTTAATACCTCCATAAAACTATGTGGAAGTATTTCACAGCTTTTATTTTACACTTTTTTCGCTTTAAACACTTTATTTTTTATCGTGCTTTCCTATTTCTTCAGCCACAGATTGTAAACTTCACTATCTTTCAGCTCCACAGCTGTGCCATTGATATCTTCGCATGATGCCATATTGTCTGTCTGGGACTAATTATTCATAGCAATAAGACAGATAATCCACAGGCCCAGAAAAGGCGTTGCATGTATCCAAAGTGAAGTGCTTTATTTGTGGGGTTCTACTCCAGTGGTACTCAGACTGATATGACAGAAAACCCTCAGCTGACGGAATACAAAGCAGAGGAAATGATTCAATTTAATTGAATCACAGTAAACAATTAAGGTCTGGATCAGAGTGTGGAAAAAACATCCTGTTCTGACTCCTAATTCTTTATTTGGAAAGTACATCCGGATAGGAAAACAAAGCTCAAATGACTGCCTGTGGCTAGAAATACCCTGTAGGAATCATGACGTCCTCTGGGTCTTAGTTTAGAAGTGGTGATAAAGTCATTGGCTACAGTATAAAGGTGCAAAATGCTGCTCAAGATTGCTGAGAGGGGTGATAGAAAGGTGAAATAAACACCAATTTCCATCCAGGAAACCGGGCAGTGTTGGCGAATTTTGGATATAACAGTAACTCTGCCGTTTGGGTCTGCCAGAGATTCACAGCGATTTGAATGCAGAAATACTCAGAAATGCAGTTTCGCACTTCTTTTTCTCATATGTCCTGTAGCATCTGTAAAATGCCATATGAACATGTAGACAACAAGAAAAACACGATTTTCATCAGAGTGGATCTATAAAGCAAAACTGCATCACCAAAAACTCAAACTCAGAGGCTGCAAGATGGGCGGCCATATGTTGCGTCGACACCAGATGGTGCACAAGTGAGTTGCATTTAAAGTCAGTGTTAAGACCTGATTCCGGGCAATGCAAAGGATGTAAACATGCAGAGCGAATTAAAGGGATATTCTGTTGTAAAATTAATTTAGGGTCAAACACACCGTAACACTGAGTTAGACACCCCTCAAGAGAAAAATGTTGCAGACTGTTTGCTTCTCTAGTTATAACTTTAGTAACAACTGCACGATAGCAATACACAGCGGTCTGTGGAGCCATAAACAAACCTCAACCAAAACGTCACTCTATAGCCACAAATAATGCTCAGAACAGCACCTAACTTCATCAGCAGTACATAAAGGGTCCCAGCCATAGTACTAGCCACCAAACGTCTTTTTAACTTTGCCTAATTTCTTCAGCAAAGATAATAAAAACAACTCACCTACTCTCTTCCAGCAGCCGCTAGCAAGACCTCAGGCCAGTCCACTACGGACTACAGCAGGGTGACACAGCTCAAGGAAGAACAATTAAGATCATTTCTTTATTATTTCCTTGAAGTAATAATCACCATATTAATCATTTTGCACTGCAGATGCAGTAGTTCTTCTGCCTTAGTGTCTCTGTCTGATTGGACAGAGACACTAAGGTGGAGGTGCTGTTCTGAGAATTATTTGTGGCTATAGAGTGGCGTTTTGGTTGAGGTTTGTGCATGGCTCCTCAAATATTGGGTATTGCTATTGTGCGGTCGTTACTCAAGTTGGAATAACTAGAGAAGCGAGCGATTGGCAACATTTATCTCTCAAAGGGTTGTCTAACTCTGTGTTACGGTGTCTGACCCTAAATTAATTTTATGTCCGAATACCCGACGTCAGAATGGTGCTAATTTTGGATTTGCTTATTTGAGGAGTTTTTAAAAAAATGATCTCTGACGAACATACCGGACGGAAATGCCAGGTGTCTTAAGACAAAATGAGGGTGTCTAAGTCCTAAAATTCCTATAATTGAGCATTTTGACCCTGGGGATCTTTGCTGCTGCTCTGCCTGCCTTGGCTTCTCACATATGAAACATAAACATAAACGCCAAAACGCCATAAGCGCAAAATATAAGAGACTGCACCACTTTATATTTCGAGAAATCCATCTACTCTGTCACCCAATCACAACAAAGCAACATTTCAAGATCCCTCTGCTGCCAATTCATCATGTGTTCTTCCACAGTGGCTCACCTAAAAGGGTCTATAAGGAGCTATTACTAAAAGCATAAGCCACACAGCTTACATAGTCTGTTCCAGACAGCAGCCTCAGATTGATGGAGGAATAAGAGACCAGGGTGTAATGTTTTAGAAGTCTTGTTCTGGAAGTAATGGCTGTAATGGCTCCCAATGCTTCATCCACTGCCTCTTAATTCCTCTAAAACTAATGCTCTTCATTTGCTGTCTGGCAGCTGTATACACACACACACACAGACACACACACACACACACACATGGCATCATCTCTGCCGCTCTGGATTTCTCTCCATGTTGCATGTGTGAACTGACTTCCAAATCTTTTGCAGTCCCAGATCGTTTCCCTGCCACACAATGGCACTGCCAAATCCAACATCCACCACAAGTCAGGACTAAGCTATCTATGTCTCTGAGTTTGTGTGTGTGAGTGTGTGTGTGTGTGTGTGTGTGTGTGTGTGTGTGTGTGTGTGTGTGTGTGTGTGTGTGTGTGTGTGTGTGTGTCTGGCAGTCAGTCAGACACCGCTGTAGTGGCTCTGAGAACGTGATCGGAGTCCCAAGTCGCCCCGCACTCCCAAAATGCTTCACTGCCTCACAAAAGCGATGTCAGTCCACGCAAGGCTGGTCAGAGGGAGTCCTCCAGCTAACCGTCTGCAACCGGCCACATACAGTCACACATGCACCAGCGCTACAGCGCACTTTCTCTCCTCTCAATTGCAGCCTCTTCACTGTCTCTTCCAGACGAAATTGTTTTCAGATTGGTCCATCTCCCTCTCCTTTTCTTCCACTCTTCTCTCTCCAAGGAGTCTGCTTTTAAATCCATCATTCTCTGAAGAAGTTCTTTAAAAGTCTCTCTCACCCAAAAAACTTTCTTCCCCTCTGATGTCCATTTTGGGAGAAAGTTCTCTTAATTGTGCCCACTTTCAGAAGTTAAAAAAAAACTTTCAGATGATGTCATTTCAGATTTTTCTGTCTTTTATTTTTAGCTCCCACAGACTGCAATTTCATGCTAATTTGAGGCAGCCGTTTGTATCCGTGTCCGCAGAAGGCTGTCCTAGAAATAGATGCTTAATGTATTTTCACAAAGTGGGACTTGCAAACAAAGCAGAACACTTAGCGAAAACTAAAAAACATGCGATTTGTCAAGTCGAGAGCGAGGGTAAGGCGGCACTGCGGGGCATGCTTTTGCAGATAAATATGCTGATTGCATAGTGAGATAAAATCCTTACAAAGCATATGTGAAAAATGTCCAAGGAGGCTGCAGCACAGTTATAAATGAGAGTGTAAGTGTTCTATATGTGTGCGGCTGGTATCCTCCTGGTGGTTTCAGTCTAGCTCTCAAGAGTCGAGTACCCAGCTTGAGTCTGGAAAGTTACATCATGGCCTTGCAGACAAAAACAGTGAGATGGGGAGTGAGAAAAAAAAGGTCTTAGCTCTTTACACAGGTCCTATTCACCACCCCATTAAAGGGATATTCCGGCGTAAAATTAATTTAGGATCAAACACACCGTAACACCAAGTTAGACAACCCCTCGAGAGATGAATGATGCCAACCCCTTGCTTCTCTAGTTGTACCAACTTTAGAAACAACTGCACGATAGCAATACGATAGCAATAGATTACAGATTATTTGGATTTTTTAAAATTTTTATGAAGTTAAAAAAATATATATATATATGCTCTGTAGATATGTACAGTATACAATTTGTAGATATACTGTAGGCTACTGCTCTTCAGGCCAACAGGAAGACTGACTGATCAAACTCGGACCAGGAAAGTGTTTTCAACCCCCCGCGCCGATCGTTGCCTCCGTGTCTTAACTCACTTTACTTATTTCCGGTCCGGTCTCATCTGGAGACATGCAGCTGCCTCAGTAATAAGTAGCTCGATCACGTAATGTGTACTGTTGTTTATTTTACCGTTACTGGCACGGCTAACAGTGTAGCAAGGCTAATAGCAGGTGGCTAACTACATAGTGCTTCACCATTAACTCAGGGTGACCGAGACCAGCACAGCACAGCGGGAACATCGTGAAGTGGGTTGAACTGAAACTTGTTGACTTATTGTCTACTTCACAAACTGGTTTATTTACCGTTGAGGCGGACCACTCTCCTCTGTGCGTCCCTGAGCTGCCTGTTTCAGATCAGTCACTCTGCTGTGCTGTGAGGTAGTTAATGGATGAAGACTGTCATGAGGTCGCTGCGCCATCTACAGGATAAGTCGGGGAACTTTTCAAATGGTGGAACATTATCGAAGTGAAACCGAATCTTATTCTCTGAATTTTATTTCTGAAAATATCTGTGAAAATCTGCGAGTTTTGGCTGATTACCTATTCGTCTCAAACTGGCTAAAACTGGCCGATTAAATTGGATCACCGATAAATTGGTCGGGCCCTAGTTGAGGTTTGTTTATGGCTCCTCAGACTGCTGTGTATTGCTATCCTGCAGTCGTTACTAAAGTTGGTATTTAAGCAAGCGGTCGGCAACATTTATCTCTCGAGGGGTTGTCTAACTCTGTGTTACGGTGTGTTTGATCCTAAATTAACTTTACCCCGGAATATCCCTTTAATGCAGCAGCATCAGGAGTTCTGTTTTCGTGGATTTCAATATAGTGGTCCAGTTCGGGTCAGTACAGTTCAGACCTTAGTCCTGCTTGCGCTTCCACGGCACACAAGAAAAATAGTCTTTTTCCTAACTGTGCTGTTCAGCTTGCATCTCTTCCTCACTCCCTTGAAAGTTTGACATCTACAAGGTGTGGACGCCATCGCTGTAGGCTGACCTTATTCACATGATAGACAAATAAACAACAACATAATAATATCTACTGGCTCATAACAATTGCAGCTGATTACTCCAACATAATTGTTCAGAGTTCAGAGGTCTGGACTCTTGGGATGGATTTTGCTTAAGGGCTGATTTATGTGTATGTTTATGGAAGAGGAGGGATTTTCAAGCTCTTGCCTAGAGCCCAACAGACCAACAGATTAGCCATTAGCCAGCTAGCTTGTGGCAAAATGAATAAAATATGAGCGGAATGGACTAGTGGGTAATATCTTTGTCTTGTTTGAGATCTACTTTATTTACTAGAGTGGTAAACGTTTAAGGATGGATAGATTTTCCCTGTTAATGAACACCATAGTAATATCCTTAACTGTAGAAATACTCTAGGATGTCTTTTCTACAACACTAGGTTCAGGCTGGATTAGACTTAGTGCATACTGTACATGAGAAGTAGCTGTATGGAAAGCCATTTAGTCACCATATGGCTATATGAGCCTTTCGATTTAATCACATCGAAGCATCTGGGCTGCGTCCCGGTGGGGTTTCACCTGACTCATTTTCATGTGCAAATCCAAGAATTGGATCCTCACTTTATTACTGGTCTGTGCGTTAGACTGCAAAAGGACTTATATATTCTCCCTGCCACGTGACATCTACATCTTAAAAAAAAACATTTAAAAAAAGGAACAGGAGAACGTTTTTGCTATTTTGGATATCACAAGAAAATAGAACCCTTTGTCTTGATTTCAGCTGCTTTTCAGACAAAGTTCTGCCCTACAAATTTTACTCCCTTTAATGAAAGATTTAAAAGGTGAGTACATGATTTATTGAGTTGTAAATGACAGAATTATTTATGTTTTGGAGCCAAATGGATCAGGGAAAGGGGTATCAAGAAAATCCGGTTTGTTTACACTGCAAGTGAGGATAAATTTAAACCAACAGAAGTGCTGCCGAAGCGGGAATTAGATTTAAGTTTCTCCTAAACTGAGTGAATCCTGCGCTGTTTTGACACCCTAAGCCATCTCGAATTTATTTACGACCAGTCCTCGTACTAAACCCCTTTCTCTCCCCTAATACCCGTAACCTTTAAAATTCTCCCTGACTGGAATCAACCTCCTCCAGCTGAGGAAAATCTGCTCGCATGCTGTGCAGAAGCACTCGTGATTCCCTTACAAGTCATTACCAATCTGTTCCCTTCCTCCCAGTCCTCCCACATGCTGGAGTGGGCAAGAGAGCTGGGATCGAAGAGAACTTTACTTGCATTAAGCTGCCCATCTGTCTCCATGTATTTTTACAGCACACATACACTTACATACACAAGCGACTTTGAGCACTTCTTATAGCCTTGTTCTACAGTGACATTTAGCGGATAAACAATTAGACATTCGCAATCGCCTTGAGTAGCAACTGTGCTGTCTTTTATGGGTAATTATTCCACACGTTGACATTTATTTATCTCCGTGGAGTGCTGTAATGAAGACTTCATTAGATTTACAAGAAAGGCGATCTGAAGGGAAATAGGTCAAAAAGTAACTAAGCACAAACTTTGGATGTATTCATCACATAGAAGAAATCAATGAAGCTGCCAAAAGAGATGATAATCAAGTCATTCCTATAAGCACTGGGCTAATGAAGGATATCTTTAATACGGCTTTAAGCCTGCAAATGCTTTACACTTAATCTCTATTTACAGACCAAAGCATGGGAAGTGTGCTGGTTTCCATTTTTAGTGCATTTGTTGTCCAGCTGGTATTGACCAGTGCTGCTCTTTTAAGCTCAGGTGTATGCAGGGGGAAAAAAAAAAAAAGTACATGCACGCAATCTGCTGTAACGTCATCCTTCTAATCTGGCAACAATTTTCTCATCTCAATAATAAACCATCCTGCCTCAAAACTTCAGCTTGAATAATGAAATTGTCTTACCGTGCGTCACTGAAGTCAGTCACTCTTTTTAGGACAAGAAAATTGCTAAAGAATCTGTTTCTTTTTCAGGACTTTAACCCTCTAAAGTACGCCCGGCTCAAACCAACTAGAAACCACATTTCAACGGTGAAACAGACCATCTATATGTGTATTAAACCAGATGATATAATGCACCAAGGAATGACAGCGTTTATTAGGCAACAGGTCTGGACAAACGAAGTCAAACCTGTGTGTAAATGACTATTAACAGTGAAACTGAGACCCAATCGAAACAGATAAACAAGAGTTAATACAGGGGATACAATCACCCAAGAAAATAATACATTTACATGTGATATATCTGGACCAGAAAAATGAGACCATATCGAAACCACCATGAATGGAAACTGGATATGGCTTTGTGAGACAAAATCAAACCTTTGTATAAAGTAGTTTTTACAGTGAAACTGAGACTTTCTATATGTGCATTACACCAGATGATATAATGCACCAAGGAATGACAGTGTTTGGATTTATACTTTCTATGTATAAAGTACTATTTACAGTGAAACTGAGACCTACCAAAAACAGATGACCGTTATTGTAAGGAAGGTATTGGGCCAAAAATGGCATACCTGGAGGGTGAAGCAAGCCACCATCATTTCCATGAGTTACACACTATTTACAGTAAATCTGAGACCTATCAGAATCAGATTCATAAGAACTACTTTAGGGATAATGCAAACTGTGAAGCCTACTGCTGCTACATAACAGACCTCTGCAAAACCTACATTTTTATCCAGTTTTAAAAGGTTTTAAATCGCCCCAATGTTTGCTTTTAACTTTTGTCTTTTACTGGGTTAAGCTTTTTAGTCATCGAAATCTTAAGTTTTTAAAGAAAGGCCCGGTGAGCCGCCATGTCAACACTGGACGCTGCTGAGTCTCCTGGAGAAATGGAACAAAATACTAAATAAAGAATTCAAAAAGATTGCTGACCTTCTCCAGGAAATTGACAGGATGTCGAACGAGCTGCAGAGGAAGGATTCCTTGTTGATCACCCTCAGGTCTCGTCTCCCGGCGTTGACCAGCTGGTTGGAAACCTCATGGGCCGTTGAGTTACCACCACACAACACCACCTCTGTACTTGGGCACGTCCTCCTCCGGTCGATAGCCCGCCCGCTCCACTTCAAACAGGGGTTTCCCGAAGTGGTCCACCGCGGCGAGCTGTCCTCCGGGACGTGCGTGCCCAACACAGGGCTGTCCGCCTCCGCCGTCCCAGCGCAGGCGGATCGTTAAAGACGCGGTGCGCTGACACTCGTTCACCATGGCGCGTTCGGCGCGTTCCCGGAAAATACCGACATCCTGAGCGCACATCCACAGGCGAAAAGGATTATTATCCATGCAGGTGCATAGATATCGCCAGACAACAGTCCGAACTTTTAAAGCAAGACTTCATCCACCTCTATAACTCGGCCTCACAGTCCCAGGTGACTGTTTTTATCTCCGGCCACACCTCTACCTGCGGCAGAGGGATAGGCAGCTCCACAGCTAACTACTCAGCCTCAACACCTGGTTCTCCTCATGTGTTCTTGGAGAGACGACATCTCTTTCCACCTGAACAGAGCAGGTGCCCGCATGCTGTCCGCCAACCTGGCACTTGGCGCACCGCATGCCAATCTTCTCAAACCCGCACCAGCTGATCCGTCCGCCACCGATTGATGTCCCCCAGGTCCATGCTCGTATCCACTCAGTTCCACCTGTGACCATAATACACACAAAACCGAACTTGGACCTCATATCTCACCATTACTTCACCCATTCCTGTGACCAAAACACTCCATCACCACATCAGAAACTGCCATACCCACTCTGTGAACTTTCACGATCTTAGACCACTCAAAGAACAATCCACCTCTTCAACAAACCACCTTTCACTCTCGAGATGGCACTTTGAATGTTCGCTCTTTTAAAAATTATGTGATTTTAGACAAAACGTTAGACAAAAAGTTAGACTGTCTTCTTTTAACTGTATTGTAGACATCAAGTCATGGACGGTAGTGAATTTCCTACGGCTCAACCAGGACAAAACGACAAGATCTTGAACCAGCACAATCAGTAAAAAATCTGGGCGTGATTTGTAATTCTGAGCTAAATTTTATTCCACTTATCAAAAACATGACGAAAATAGGTTTTTATTATTTTAAGAACATAACCAGAGTCCACCTGTTTCTCTCTCAGGCCAGGTGTTGATGCATACTTTTATCTCTTGTTGCTTAGATTACTGTGATGCTCTGCTCTCTGGTCTTCCCAAAAAGAGTATTTTAAATCTCCAATTATTACAGAACACAAGAACTAGAGGGCGGGAGCACATTACAATGGCTTAAGAGTCCCTGCATTGGCTCCCTGTACGCTCAAGCATCCATTTTAAGGTTCTTTTACTGTTTTTTAAATGTCTTAACAGCCTTGTGCCCTCTTACTTATCTGCATGCTTTTACCATATCAACCCTCCCATGGTGAGGCGGCATTTCACTACCATGGCGCCAGTGTTGTTTTCGGTGACGATTCATCAACGAAAACAACACTGCAGAATATATGTTTAGCGTTTGACTGACAAAATGCTCATGAATTATGCAACTCTGTTCGTCATCCACCGCTAATGTTTTCGCCTAGTCTCATCTCGTCAACGTAAACTCAGATTCGCCTCATCACATTTTAGTCATCTAAGATTTATGTTTAGCTCGTCAACGTCGCGGGAAAAAAAGGGGCGTTGACGAAATATTTTTGTCAACGAAAACGACACTGCACGGCACCCACCTGTGGAACAGCCTGCCAGAGAGCCTCAGGACCGCAGCGACTGTTAATATTTTCAAAGGAAGTTTAAAGACCTACCTTTTTAATTAGGCTATATACTGGTATTTTAAATTCTTCTTACGTTGTTATATATTTCTATCTTATTGTTGTTGTTGCTTCTATCTTGTTTTTTAAGATTATATTAATCTCTAGAAAAATTATTTGTTCTACTTATCATTGGTAATATTTTATTTATTATCTTGTGTATTTTTAGCCTTTTAAGTGATTCACTCTATGTGCTTTGTGTTGTGTGTCCATGCATGAAAAGTGCTCTATAAATAAAGTCTGATTCGATTTGATACTCTGTACACTGAAACTGAGACCTGCCGGTAACAGAATAACAAGTAAGGGACATTTGAAACTCAGAAATGAAGGTGTTCACTTTGGAGACATACTCCGAGAGGGGAATTAAGCCAGAATCAAACCTATTAACAACCTTACAGTGAAACTGAGACTTACTAGAGGCATAAGTTTGAACTACCCCTATATCTGAGTATTGAAATGTGACAATTCAAGTTTAATGTTCAGCAATCAGTGCCACATGACTTAAACACATTAAAGTCTTATCGTATCAAATCTTAATGAACACAACTTGAAAATAAAATGAGCAAAAGGCGTTTTTTTTAAACCAGAATATCATTTATTTTATATGACACATTCAACAAGTGAATAAATAAACCAAAAATGCAAAATTGGAGAGTCTCCAAAAGATGCAAAGCCATCTGTGATTTTTCATTCTCACTGTTACTGATTTATGTTGACAGCAGCTACAACAGCCACCATCATGTAAATGCAAACAAGATACAACACACGATAAGACCACTACAGATGGTAAATTAAGACTCTGGCTTTCTACCAAATTCCTTAAACGGTACATGAGAGCTGTTGATCTTGGCACCAGTTGGCGAATGAGTAACCAATCATCTAGAGGATAATCCTGTTCCTTAGTTGTGGCCATCTTATGTTATGTTATGTTACTTATGTTCTTCAGCAGACCGTATCAAAACCTTATGAAAGCTCAGGGCTTGGGTGCTGGGTCAACATGAAGGGAAACTCTGCCACCACCTAGTGGTCAACTAACTCCTCTGTTCCTCCAAGTGTATTGACAGAAAAACACACATACACATAGGCTTTACTTTCTATACATCCAGCAGGTTGTCACCTGGCCTGAATGATGCATAATCCTAACAGTGTGGAGAATGACAAGAATATGATCTATAGTCTTCATAATTACATGTGCACCAAAAATCCAACTTGGAATTTGTATTTCACAACTTTGAGTAGACTCTTTCACAGATTCAGCAGAATCCATAAGCAGTATTATCAATGAGGGATATGTTTTTGTTATAATATGGCTCAGAGTTGTGTATATATTTGCATATTTTGGGTGTTGTGAGTTAAGAGACACTTTGTGAGTGTTGTAGCAGTTTGAACCAAACTTACTGTCGAGGTATGAACAGTTAGCTTTTCCAAAATGGCTACCACGATTGTTCGGCTTTATAATAAACTTCTCGTTGTCGTCGTCATTTTCTTCCACTTCATCCGGGTCCGGGTCATGGGGGCAGCTGCTTCAGGAGGGAAGCCCAGACGGCCACTTCCACCAGCTCCTCCGGGGGGATTCCCAGGCATTCCCAGGCCAGGCGAGAGATATAATCCCTCCACCTGGTCCTGGGCCGGCCACGAGGTCTCCTTCCGGTGGGACATGTCTGGAACACCTCTAACGGGAGGCGTCCAGAAGGCATCCTAACCAGATGCCCGAGCCACCTCAGCTGGCTCCTCTCGACGTGGAGGAGCAGCGGTTCTACTCTGGTGCCTCCCGAGTGTCTGAGCTCCTTACCCTATCTCTAAGGCTGAGCCCGGCCACCCTGCGAAGGAAACCCATTTCGGCTGCTTGTATCTCAAAATAAATAAATAAATAAAAACAGTCTACAACGAATCAGCATGGTGAGAAATAACAATTCAGAGAGAATCCATGTTTGGGAAAATGATCATTTGATGTGTATTTAGATTTTGAAGTTTAACCCATGTCCCATCTGTTCAAATGGAGTAGGCGGGCTTCATGACCCATGGTTTACCAGCAAAAAGGGGGTTGCTTTAAATGTCTTGGTCTCACTACTAGGAAAAAATACTGTCAGTTTATATTGACAGTTTCACCTTGACTTCAAGTACTTATCTTGTAAGTCATTCAGATAACAGCTTGCCTTTCTGTGGTTGATAAAACAGAAAAAGAGTAGCTTCATAAACACAAACACAAAGTTTAATCAAATTAAGTGAACACATTAACAACACTTCACACTCTGCTCCATATGTCTGACTCTGACTTTAATTCACTATGAACATACACGCACTTACAATGAAGGATGATGTGACGCAAGAACTCTATATTTTTAATTAACATTTCCTGTCCACATAATGTTTTAATTAAGTTACATTGCCGGTTGCCATGCAATAACAACCTTCTCGAGGTAATTAATATACTGAATATAAATAGATGCATTCTGTTTAATTGATTTGAGTGCTTTCTTATTAACCATCCTTTTGTAAAAGCTTGCAGTGTTGTGATTCCTTCTCTCATTTTTCTCTTTCTGCTTGGAGGGTTATTGCAAACACAGATGCCTCAGAGTGCTTTCTGTATTGTTAATAAATGCATATGTTAGATGAGAGGCTTTTTATAATCGACACATGAATACAACCTACGTTTCTATGTTAAAAACAAATTAAATGATGTGTTAATTGTTGATAAAAACAGATTCTGATGGTTTGCAAATTATTAAATATGTTATTTAAAAGAAACTAAGAGTAAATGCAAATTATCTGATGTTTTGTGAAAAATGCATGCTCATTTTTAACCAAATTTTACATGTTATTTTAATGTTTTTAAAAAAATTCAGACAGCATAATGTGACTACCTTACCTTTCAATAACACTCTGTAAACATTTGGTAACCAAGGACACCAGTTTTGGAAGTTTTGAAATAGAAAATGATGCCCCATTTTTGACAGATAGAGCATTCCTGCTACTTGTCAACTTTGGGTCTCCATGATTTCCAAAAAGAATGTCAACCTTTGATTAGTCAGACAATAGTAGTTTTTTTTCTAACATTATTGCAGTCCAACTTTTATAGACTCAGGCCAAAAGAACTTTCTGAGCTTGTTGAATTTTTAACTGCCTGCCTTCACTTGGGAAAGGGGAGGAGCTAACTTGATTGTTATCGCCAATATGTCCATGAATTCCAAAAAGAAAGTCAAACTTTTGGCCAGTAAGACAACAGTGCAGTTTTCTACTTCATCTCAGTCCAAAGTCACTGGTGTAGCTGAGTTTCAAATAATCTGTAGATAAAGTAATTTGGCCATTCTTATCTTCATAGGTAATGCAAAGTGTACATGATTTCCAAAATGAATGTCAACTTTTGATCAGGATTGCTTTCTACTTCAGCTCAGTAGGCATGCAGAAGTTGCCAGACTAGAAGAAATTTC